GGTTCTCTTTGTTGGTTCTCTTTGTTGGTTCTCTTTGTTGGTTCTCTTTGTTGGTTCTCTTTGTTGGTTCTCTCTGTTGGCTCTCTCTGTTGGTTCTCTTTGTTGGTTCTCTCTGCTGGTTCTCTCTGTTGGTTCTCTCTGTTGGTTCTCTCTGTTGGTTCTCTTTGTTTGCTGAGTCTCTTTGGTATTCTTATAAGGGCTGCTATAGGGGTTCCTATAGGGCCACCTATAGGAAGTATAGTGTTCCTTATAGGGCTGCCTATAGGGTTTCCTATAGGATTCCCTATAGGGCTGCCTATAGCGATGCTTATAGGGCTTCCTATAGGGTTTCCTATAGGGTTCCTTATAGGGCTGCTTATAGAGATGCCTATAGGGCTTCCTATAGGTCCGTGGTCTCAAATACGGGGTCCTATAGGGGGTCCCTATACGAAGGCCCTATTAGGCGTTTCCTATAGAGCCTCCTATAGGGCTCCTATAGGGAAAGCCTATAGAGTTTTGGTTTACCTCTTGTATATATACATGTTAATAGCAAGAATTGGAAATCATTTTCATTCCCAACTCGTTTCTGCTTATTCTTGTTCTTAATAACAGGTTCAGGTAACTCCACCTGCACCTGCAGCTCAGTCAAAGACAATCTTCACAATCGTTAAAAATACTCCTTCAAAAAATGTTTTCCTTCAAATACTCCTTCAGGCACTGCGCTGAGGTGCTTTCGATGCAAACCAAGCCCACTCGCGAGGACATCATCAAGATGAACAAGCCAAAGAAATACGTGATTCCAACCAACAATCCGATGAGCAAGTTGCAATCGCTCAATCATCCTCTGTACAAGCCGTTGATTCCGTGGTGGGAAGTCCCCGGCCTCGAATACGGGTCTCTCTACAGCCACGAAACGCGTTTTGGAAAAGCACCTTTGCCGCATCATCCTCTGAAGCCGAAGTACTTGTATCCGCAACCGGAAGAATACGAGGTCGAACGCCGGTTTTGGCGGGAAAAGCCAGTCATGCTGGATCCAATCAGCGATCAGATGTGGCATCCGACGTTGCAGTTCGGATGGAGCAGACAGCATGGACATAACATGAAGCCGAATCCGGAAAAGTAGAGAGCAACAGAGAGCAACACTGGCGTGGTCGGCGTGGAGGAGGTTCACATTCAGCATCAGCACGACGATGTTGAAGAAAGGTGTTGAACAGTAAAATAACTTAACGATATTGTTGAAGATCTTCATACTATTTTTACTAGAAGATGAACAGTCATGATCAAGCATAATGAGCATTTAAACAACAAGCATAAAAAACAGAGTTGTAAAACAGTCATCAAGCATAAACCGAGTAGAACACCAGTCAATCATCAAGCATAAAAGAGTTGGAAAACAGTCATCAAGTAGAGTAAACAGAAAAATGTCATCACCTCTTATGTCTAAGTACTTTTCATCAAACACACAGTCAGAAACTATCATCAAGTCAGATTGATCTTCAAGTTCAAATGAGTTGAAAAATGTTAATGTAAATGTAGTATGTACAAAATGTTTGGGTATAATTGGGGCGGGTAGGGCTACGGCTGTTGTGATAACAACTATTAAGCCGAGAGAAATCATAATCAACTCAGAATCTTTCTTTCTTTTTTCTAGTTAGGTCGGCTCCACCACAAATATTAGTAGAACATCAAGTATGTTGTATATCGGAAATCATCGGGAAAATCTTATGTAGTTTTCAGACTGACTCTAAGACAGAATAACAAATTTAGATTCTACCATGCTCCAGGGGTTGATGAAGAGCAAAACATAGTGAGAACATTGAAAATCCATCGTTGTGGAGTGTTTAGATTCAAAATACGTTCATCAGGATCCAAAACGGAAAGAGGATAAGTAGATTCATTTGACCTGTTAAAAAGACCTGTTAGCAAGCAGAAATCGATCGATAATCATACATGTTTACGCGCGCATATGATGTATGGGAATCAATGAAGAGAAAATGGATGCTAGTCTTCTCTCCTCCGGGCATGGCGCTCTTGAGCATCTCCTCTCTAGGGGAGAAGCGAACATGTACTGCAAGTAGTTCGTGTTCAACGTGAGGACCACAACATCAAGAGCAAAAAGCATCTTCGAAATGATAAGTTCCGTCGATCGGAGGGACCCAAAAATATCCGTTCGACTGGATCACCTCCACCTGAAGAACTACAGCTCTGATCTGCATGAATATCAACAATGGTTTGCATGACTGCTACAAGATATGGTATGAAATTTGATTCAGCGCGTTGGCTCTACTTCTAAAGGACGCTCCAGCGTTGTACATGACCTCTTCGAGACTTGATGGCTTTTTTTCAGGGTTCAAGTTTGGATGAACATATCACAATTATACGCGTATATTAAGCCTCCACGTGTCTTCTTCCACGTATATTATACCTCCACTTAAACCTCATAGCATCTGTTTTTATGGTTTTTCCTTTTCGTGTCGTGTAAGTAGCTGTACTAGAGGTACTAGGATTTTGACATTATACTACATAGTAAAAATAAGATGGATTTCATGGGTGACGCTGTGCCTGGCAGTGACCAGCACCAGCACCGCGGAGGTGGCGGTGGAGGCGGCAGCGGCAAGAAGGGTGGCGGAAAAGGCAAAGGTGGTGGTGGGAAGGGTTCTGGTGCTGGCATATCAAGGACACAGGCTTCGGCACCTTTCCTGGCGAAAATACGACAGCAAATGGCAAATCAAGAGCATGCGTTAGAGGATAAGCAGAACAAGAAGAAAGCTTTGAAAGCGGAGATGGGCATAAATGCAGGGAATGTTATGGCAAAATTTGTTGTTAGAAGAACTATGAACTTAGAATTAGATGATGAACTATGGCACAATGTACATGGAGGGGCTGTTATGAACTAGGAGCTGAAGTTTCAGAAACTAACATCGACTTCACTAGGCAGTGTCTCTGTAATTCACTCCCGTATTCAAAAATATAATGTTAAATAGATCGCAAGTAGAAGCTACTACCGCCTGGTCTGCTATCATTCAGTACTACATCCTTGATATGTTGAAGATCTAATACTCGCGAAGAGGACGACGACATCCGAGAGCACTTGTTTGAGGACGATTTTCATGAGGCTGTGGTGGTTTCTGAATCTGGTGGGCAACTCGATGACTTCGAACAGAAGATGGCTGACCAGCTAAAAGCAAACCGTCAAAAGGCAGAACAAGAACGCAAGGACCGCTTGGCTGAGTTGGACAAGCCGATTACGTTCAAATTATCGGTGGAGAAGGAGGAAAAAAGGAAGAAACTGGAGAAGGAAAGGGAAGAAGCCGAAGCAGCAGCGAGAAAAAAAGCTGTAGAGGAGGAACAGGAGAAGCAAAAGACGCATCCTGAGTTCTATTGGCGATTGAATGAGTTAGAGAAGAGGATATTCGATGCTTGTTTAGAACAGGATAAGCGAGATAGTCGAGAGGCGCAAAATAAAGGAAAAGGAGAACGCTTAGCGCCAATATGTTTCCATTTTAATACGAAGCGCGGCTGCAACAAGATGAACGAGAAATGCGATAGGAGACACATCAAAATAACCCTTCCTAAGTTTACTTCCAGCAATTCTGTTTCTTCAGGAGCAGATGGAACTTCATTGAAACGTCCTGGCAATAGTGCGGATGTCCCACCAGCCAAGAAAAAGCCAACAGTAACACTAAGCTATGAAGACGACGATGAAGATGAAAGCGACTGAGCACCAGAGCGATTACTTACTTATTTCTCAACATTCTCAATCTCAAGTTCAACTTTGACATCTAACCTCGTGTTCCAGACCCATGCTCTGGATACAACAAATCACCTAGTACAACTAACGCTTGTTCTCCATCGAATTCAAGGTCATGATCTCTAAAGTTGAAAAATCAAGCACAACCTCGATGCCGAAACAAAACTGCGTGCGAGATCCAACAGGTGACTACTTCCTCTTGAGAATGCTGAAAGCGTTGCCAGAATGCAAAGCAGGCAACAGATCAGCAAACAATCCTATGACGTTCTACTCCCTCTTTCAATTATAGTGAATGCAAATTTTACTTGCTCATTCATTTTTTTTATTGGTTTTAGTCAGTGTTGTTTGATGATCATAAAAACTTGATGTTGAAACTGTAGTGGTAGTCGATCTTCCCTACAAACTGTTCAAATTATCTTCTGAACTTCAACATCTCAATCTGAATTTCATGACATTTTTCACATCTCAATCTGAATTTCATGACATTTTTCATTGTCCTTTCTGCAGGTGGATAAGAATATCTTCTCTCATACCTTTCAAGTTGTTTCTTTTTTGGGAGATTTGATAGATTGTTGTTCTTGTCCTCATCTATCTACATTTATTATATTTTTTGATATCAAACAGAAACATCCAAGAAAAAATGGCTGAGGTAGCACCACCAGCACAAGAGGCTGCGGCCGCAGCACCAGCCGCGGAGCCAGCCACCGAGCAACCAGGAGTCGAGATGGATAATGAAATTGCGGTAGTCACCATCATTAATCTTGAAGATTACTTGTTACACCTCCTTGTCCTTGTTCACTTGACTTCAACATGATCATGATGCACAGTAGACAAACTCTAATACGACTCTGTCTGATGTATATACTTTTTATAATGTAAAGAATGAATCCTTATTCGGTTGATACGCAAAAGAAAGTTGATTGCATCTCAACATGATCCTGAGATCTTCATGACTACTTGTCCACTTGTCGTACCTGTGAAAAGAAAGTGAAGAGGGCTAAAAAGAAATGAAGAGGGCCGCCCCGAGTCTTGATCGCAGTCGCAGCGCAGAAAAAAAATTAAAAAGAGAAGACCTTGTAGTTGAGCACCGTTGTAAGCGCTAGAAAATAACGCGACATGCGTCTTGATGCCCCGCCAAACGTTGCTCTTGCTTTGGTTTTTTGTCGTTGTTTTCGTTAAGTGTTTTGCCTGTTTTGGTTGTTCCGGTGTCTCTGAACAGCTGTATTGAGTTTTTTGGTCGATCATGGTTGTGCCGGGAATACGAGGTCGAGCCGACTGCGTCGGAGCAGATCTTCGTGCAGAAGTAGTTTTCGTTCCTGGATACCGACACTGGCATGCTGTGATCGGCCGACTTTGTATGCTAGGCGACGGCACGATGCAGAGGACACATACCTTCTTCAACGGTGGGAGCAATCGCCAGGGTAGCATCTTGCACGTTGCTCTTCTTGTTTCCACCATGAGATTTAGGGTGTGTCCTCCTTTCGAGTACGACTAGCATAGACATTTTCTTTTTCAAGCTTCTTCAATTTCTAGAACTTTCACGAAGAAAATCTGCCATAACAGAAGCCCTCACCTTAGACCGACTCTTGACAGTCTTCTCCTCTCCCTCGAAGCGAGCTTTATTCCGGAAAACAGGCAGCTCCTCGCATTGATAGATCGTCGACTTCATTTTTTTCACCGGAAAAAACAATAACAACATCGCCGTCCCATTCTTATCGCCTTGCCACTGCTCATGCGTTGCGTCTGCTCCCTAAACGGCCCTCCTTTGCGCTTTTTCACGTGATTCTTCTTTTGAGTTGGAACAGGTATGCACGACGTACTTCTCACATTCATACAAGCCATTACCATTTTTACGGGAGGACTATCAATCAAATCATCAAGTTCACTAGTTGTACAAGAACAACATGGAAGTAGATTTTTTCATTTCCTAAACCCTAAGGGCGCCCTTCACACCACCCACCACAGGAACTCGAAGAGGAGATGGAGTACATGGAGAAGGAGACCAACCTAGTCAAAGACCTTTCCGAAAAAGCGGAACAGGAAATGGGTGAGACCGATAGACTGGATTCTGACTCTAAATCCGTCTATATTGGCAACGTTGAATACGGAGCGACACCAGAGGAGTTGCAAGAACATTTCAAGAGTTGTGGACAAATCGCCAGGATAACAATCATGGTGGACAAATACACATGCTGCCCGAAAGGTATAATTATTTCTGATATATTTGGTTTTGGATCACGACTTCTTTTTAAGGGTAGGTTAAAGGTGCTTTTCTTACCGCTTTTTATGCCTCTCCTAAGGGAGAAAGGCATAACAAGCGGGGTAAGCGAGCACCAAAAGCCTACCTCTAATCTTTGGATTATTCAAACACTTCTCTGAGTATCAGTATACAGCAAGTTTCTATTCAAAATACATACTACTGTAAAATCGGGCCTCCAGGTTTCGCATACATGGAGTTTTCAGATCCAGAGCATGTGAAAAACGCAGTCCTCTTGAACGACTCCCTTTTTCGCGGACGTCAATTGAAGGTCTTAGCAAAGCGAACCAACGTTCCGGGATACTCAAAGGGCAAAGGCAAAGCAGGCAAGCCAAAAGGAAAAGGCAAGGGGAAGATGAAAGGAGGGTATAGAATTCGATCATCTTTAACTTCTTTAGCTGTACTAGGTTTTTTTATTCACAAAAATTATTTTTTGCATCTGTGTAAATGCAAAGGAGTAGGTCTCACGACAAGAACTGCAGTAGGAGAATGTCAATGTCGTGTTTTTTAGATCTAAAAATCTTGTTTTACTTTCACTATTTTCAAAATCTCACCCAATCCTACACCCGATCGCCCTCCTTCAGGTACGTCGCTACTTACGCGCCCACCTGGGGCAAGGGTAAAGGCAAGGCGAAGGGCCCTTATTACGGCTAAGAAGATTGGAGCTTCTTTTCCTGAGAATATTGTTGCGTAGAAGTGCTTTTCCGCACATGATCAAGAATATAGCTGCAGATGAATTTCTTGTGGTATGACTACAACTCAACATGATTATGCCAAAGGAGCTTTTGGATATGGTTATGCAGTGCCCCAATTTTGTGTTGTCGTGTCTGAACATCTTGTGATCATGATCTATTACTTTGCCGTCACCGTCAGTTCTTCTTGTCTATGATTTTGGCGTACTGACGCCATAAGAACTACAAACTTCAAGGGTGGACTACAAGAATACGACCCTTGTTTGTAAACACATGATTGGTAGATGAATTTGCAGTGCCCCAGCACAACATCCCGCAGTCTCAACAAATGAACAGCTGAACACAAGAACCACATCGACTTCACGCACATACACAACAAACTTTCGCAACAAAGAACATCACAGCAATTAAATTCAAGAAAATCAAAATGTCAAAAAAGTTGGAAGAAAAAAGCGTGAAAGAACAACACGCAAAAAAGAAGAACAATAACGTGAAAGTGATAGGGGAGCGCTATCGCAGGTCTTTGCTACTCTTGGCAAGTGAATTCCAGTGTTCTACTGTTCACATCGGTGTAATCCTCTTTGGATTTCTTTCTAAAATTCCTTGAGATGTTCACACTCAAATGTTGAAGCAGGTTTTCCAAACGGAGTCGCACTTCTAAGACGCAAGAAATCAAGAGAGCACCTAGGAGTAGTACAAGAAGATCGAGATCCACTTGCACCATAGGCATAGGTAGTGCAGCGATTACCATGATGTACTAGACAATTTATTATCTCCAATTTCCAAGAAAAATGAACGACGTTGCCCGCGTCTTCCAGGATTTGGACTCCTTGAGGGAGTTGGTTCTTAGGCACCTGGACAAGAGAAGCTCCAAACGAACCGAGATAGATGTCAGATTCGAGAGCTTGACTGGTAACATCGATGCGATCCTGGAGGCATGGCATAAAAAGCATCGAGACTTGCAAGCACAAGCTGTCGAACGGGAAAAGTTACGGATAGATTTAGACGGATTTCGATCGTTTCCTATTGGGATAACGATAAGAATTTTTGACACCGAATAGTTTTGGTTACTCTCACAACTCCTGTCATAACTAGTTCGTTGTAGTACAGGTAGTCGCTTTTGCAGGATATTCATCTTCTATCGGCATCGTGATCCATCCTCTAAGCCGAACTGTCAAGAGCCTGTCGGATAGTATTAAAGCTTTGCGCGTACGGCTAGGGGTTGGTGGAGGTGCAAGTAGTAGTGGAGTTGGTTCACTCTCTGATGCAGTTGTAGGTCAGCATGCTGAACAGAACAAAAGTTTGCGTCGACAGGTGCTGCATTTGCGAACGCTAGTACGTGGCCAACAAGGGGAAATCAAACAGCTGAAAAATGAACGGGAGACGGAAAGAATATTGAAGGATGTCGTCGACGAGCAAATAGAAATACCCTCATCTTCTAGATCCAACAAAAATGAGCTGCAGTCGTCTTTCTCTGCAACATCCTTGCTGAGCACACGAATGAAAAACTCCTATGATCCGAACCCGAGGATGCGGAACACTCATCATGCGATGTCGGCGCCCAGTCAGCTGAACCTACTCTTCTATCCCTCAACTACGTCTCCTTCAAAAAATACCGCGCCAACAATTACCACTAGTTTGCTAAGGCGTCCTGGGAATAAAACCTCTCCAACAAAGCCTCAACAGCGTCTGTTGGAAATCGAGCCTGCCTTGGGGAAACTAAAGAGAATGTGTGGTGCGCTAGTTTCTTCCAGCTCTGGCCCGATGCCAGTTGATATCACAGCGCTCCGGAAAAAGCACGAAGCGATTCATGCAAAGGACAAAGTCTGCCGCGTGGAATTTGCCAACAAATTGAAACAGTTGGAGCAAGGTACTGGTGCAACTTACTGTACTACATCTAGGTAGACGTTCTAAGCTGTAAATTGCACCTTGCTTCAGCACATTTTGCTGGAAGCGTACCCCTCCCCTTAACATCATATCCAGGTTTCCTCACCATCCAGCCAAACGGATTATGGGAATTTGACAAAAGCTTTGCCCGTCTCAACGAGTCCTTCATCGTACGCCTTGAAGCCTTGACGAGAGCTCTTGCCTATGCCGAAAGCCAAATCAAAGCCAAAGGTTCGTGGATACCTTCTGCAACTACATCTAAAAACACAACTTCTACCTCCATCGCTATTGAGACCGAAATCAACACTGCACTCCTTGCTGCTGCGGCTGTAGCACGTGAGAAATACGAGAAGAATGCACACCTGTACGAACAAGTAGCCTGCCGAGAGGAGTTGAAGACGGAAATGCGAAAAATGGGAACGTCCTGGTCGTTTCAGCTAGTGAGTGGGGCATCTCCATCTTCTTCCTCATTACCAAGAAGTGGCGATGCTTTTTATGACCGGAGCAGGGCATTTTCTTCCACGTCGAGATGGACAGACACCTATAACGACTACCAAGTAGGTAACCCAACGCGGCAAAGCAGTACGGCTGCTTCCATATTCCATTTTCCAGCAGTTGCACAAGATCAAGAACATCAAGACATAAACAAATTAGAGAAAATAAAGACTCGTTTTTGGAACCTGACTGAAGAAATTGTACATCAATTGCACAGGATGCAGAGACAAGTGAGACTTGCACAGGACCCGATACGATGGTCAGGAATCGCATACGCGGAAACAATCTATCTAGATTTGATACATGATTTGGTGTGAAAGTGGACGTCCACGTAAGATACACAACACCATTCAGAAGTGTTACGTGGGAGGGGGAACGAAGCCTCTCACAATTTCTTTCACGAGCTGGCTGTTCTTTGCCCTTCGATCATTCATGACAATCATTCTCTACTTCACAGCGGACGATGTTGGTATGATCGGCTCATGCAGCTACATCCAGGTCTGGTAACACCTGGAAAGCTAGTCATCGGCTTTCCCTTTCTGAGACTTTAATAGAGGACCGACATTTTGACGTACGCAGAAAAAAAGATCAGAAGCGCTTACTGTGTGGAAATAAGAACAAAAGTGGCGCGACATGTTTGTGATACAACACTGGTTGATGATTTATCTCGCAGCTTTTTGCCTTTTTGTTTCATCGAATGATCCGTTCGCCACTCTTCTATTTCTTTGATGTAGTCTTCATTTTTTTCAGGACTTCTCACATCTTTCTAGAAGAGTCATAACTTCCTTCAACATCGCACTTACACTTTCACAAGATCAACCAAAATGTCCGACAGTGAGCAAGAGTTTGAGTACGAGTCGGACAGCGTAGTGTCTGACGATGGCGATGAGGAGGCCATCGTCATCGAAAACCGGTTCTACGAAGCGGACGATGTGAAGTTGTCGGAGCCAAGTCGAGCGTTGGCGCAGTTCCAGTCAGTGGTGCAACTAGAAAACGAGCGTCAGAGCAAAGGTGGCGTAGCTGTTTGGAAATTCAAAGCGTTGCAGAATATCGTAATCCTGGCAGCAAGGGTGGGGAAGCATGAAGAAATGTATGAAACGCATCAAGAGCTATTGGCCTTGTTAAGCACAGTGACGCGAAACGACGCCTCAGAAGCGATCAACAGCATATTGGATACGATAAACGCGATCTGTATGAAGCGCAAAAGTGTACTCATCCTCAAGAAAGTAGGCACTTTCTAAGTAGGGAAAACCTTCTTTTCTTGAGTATGAGTACACTTTTTCCTGTCATAATCTACGGGAGTTCTGCTAAAGACGTAGTTACTTCTACTAAAGACGCAGTGCCCACTACAGGCGCAGCAGGAGGAGGGACGGTGGGAGGATCCACAACCGCAGCTGCAGGCGATCCAATCCACGCTATGTATGAGATGAGCTTGGAAACCCTGAGAGCCAACAAGAATCCCTCTCTGTGGCTTAGCACGTGCATCAAGCTCGCGAAGCTGTACTTGGCGCAACATGAGAGACTAACGACGAGTGGTCGTCCGATTTCTTCAGGTGTCCACAAGTTAAGTCGTGTTTTTCGTGCCTAGACCGTAAACGTGAAGAACGTCGAACAAAACCTCACTCCCACTCTTGTACTTGTAGGTAGAAAGGATTTATTTCTTAAATCTTTGCTTGGCTGGAGAGGTTCAGGTAGAACAATACAGGGGAAGTTTTTTGCCTCAATCCGATGGGTTTTGTACTCATCTTCCTCGCTCTAACCAAAGCAGCCGAGGAGCAAGCTCTTGCTAACAAAATCAAAGCTCTGGTCCCGAGAATGTATGAGATGATGTCCGAAAATGGAATTGGTGGCGGTGCTGCTGGTGCAATGAATAACAACAGCAATACAGCCAATACATCGTCACAATGGATCGAAATTTATGCTGTGGAGCTTCAGTATCTGGCTTTGTTATGGCAATGCCTGTCATGTCTGATGTCACCATGCATGGAAGATATGAGTTTGAGTTCGGTTTATAGTGGTTGTAAAGGATCCACCTCTTGCACTAGTGGTAGACGTAGTAGACGAGAGCACCGTTTTCTTCTTGCTTAGAGGACCACCACCGTCATCCTCTCTAACTTTCGTCCAAGACCACGAGCGACTCAAGATGCTATACCCAAAGACCATCGAGTTGAGCAGTGCCATAGCTGACCCCCGAAACTTAGCCGTGATCCGAGAGTGTGGAGGTCGCTACCTCTACATGAGAGAGCGGCAGTGGCAACTGGCATATAATGAGCTTTTTGAAGCCTTTCAAACCTACCAGGCAACGGGGAACGCCCCAAAAGCAAAGCTGATGCTCAAGTTTTTAGTGCTAGCAAATATGCTCAGCGAGAGCGATATCAACCCGTTTAACAGCAGGGAGGCGAAGGTATTATTTATAAATCTGTAGAGTTCAAAGAACTTCTACTACTTCGACCAACTAAATTAAGTGAAGAACAAAACCTTGAAGATCGTGTGCGTCTTCAAGATCAGATACGAAAAAAATCTGGTTTTTACACTTTCCCGAGCTTGGTTTTTACACTTTCCCGAGCTCACCTTGCCCAGGTCTACGCAGAAGATCCAGAAATCAAGGCCTTGATGCAGCTCCGGCAGTCATTAGAGGAGTTTAGTATAGAGAAACTAGACCAGAATCTTTTCCTATTAACTGAGGACGTGCTCCTAGCTGAGTACAAGGAGGAACTCGAGTCTTGTACTCGATCACGGATCGCGGCGCACCTGCTCCAGCCATACAGAAGTATGCGGCTGCAGAACCTAGCGGGAGAGTTGAACTTACGCTCATCGATGATCAGACTCAGATCTGTGATAGTGATGTGATTCCAGTTTCCTGACTGTACTACAAGAACAAGTACTACCTGACTGTACTACAATAGCTGTACTACAAGAACAAGTACTACATCATAGGTCTTCAGATCCAGTATCCCCATTTTAATACACCTAGCTTAGTAGGGATCTTTTCTGTTCGTCTTCCGCTAATCCCCGTCAACATGGAGAAAACCTTGCAAATTCTTGGGTCCTTGATTCGTAGTGGCAAAGTAAAGGGTTCCATAGACGAAGTGAAACAGTTAGTCTTGATGGAGAAGAAGCCGACAATGAGGGAGCAGCAGGCCACTGCCAGAGCCGAGCAAATCGAGAATTGGATTTCAAAATTGGAACAGATAGCAGACGCTCCCCTCTTGAGTCCTGCAATGGCCAATGACATTACTGCGAATTTGATGAATGGCGCTGCTGGAGGACCAGGTGGCGGTCCTCAAGGACTCAGTGCAAATCAAAGTCTTAACAATACTCCTGGTGGTGGTGGAAGAGGGTTCGGTGCTGGTGGAGGTCTAGGAGGACTTAGCTTGGGGGGAAGTCATCAGGGATCCCCAGCTGTGTTGGCGTAAGACTTCTCATTTGACAAGCACATGTTGTCATGTTCTTGATGTTCAACAACTCTTCCGAACAGGTGTCGCTTGTTCACTTCTTTTGAAGACAGTATGAAAGAGAAGGACTCTTCCGAACAGGTGTCGCTTGTTCAGTTTTTTGAAGACAGTATGAAAGAGAAGGACTCTTCCGAACAGGTGTGGCTTGTTCAGTTTTTTGAAGACAGTATGAAAGAGAAAGGAACAACAATCGTGTTCTTTCTGTTGTCTCGACTCTAGTAGAGGCTCTACAATGTTCAAATCTTGATACTGATACTTCTCTGTCTGGTCTAGTACTATCGGATGAAGACTTAGTCTTACTAGATGAAGGTCTTCGCCTATACTAGACTCAGAACAAGAAAAGGAACACCTACCGCTAAAGTTGCAAATAAAGCGGTGTGACTTCAAAATTGGAGGACTGATATCTAGGTGTGGATGAAGATAAGTAAATTCTTTTTTCAACATGAAACAAGTGATCGCTCTTCCTCTGTATCAATTATAATGGCATTGTTACGACTAACGACAACGACAAGTCAATGAGTAGCAATAGCGACTGATTATGACAACCACTCGCTTTAATTTTCAAATTCGAGGCTGAAAGTAGAAACTACAACGACCTCTTCTTTTGTAGTAAAAGAACGACGTGTGATAATACGAACCCCAAGATTGATTGGCTTTGTGATAAAAAACCACGAAGTAAAATATGCCAGCAACTGGCGAGGACCCCGAGTTCACTGCTTTGTGTAAGCGTTTGCTTGCCGAGGTGCCAGCCGCCAATAAAGGCGCATTGGAAGCACAGATCGCTTCTCTCGAGACTCTGATCGTAGACTTGGACGCGATTGAGACCTTTACGGTGAATGCAGGGGGCAACAGGATCTCTCCAGCGACGTTCGACAAGTTCGCGTCTTTCTGCAAGGCGAACTGCGAAAAGAGGCCAGAGACGAAGGCGAAACGACCGAAGTATGCAGGATCGACCTCCATAGCCACGGGAACGTCATCTTCTTAAGGGTAGGTTGAAGGTGTTCCTGTTACCGTTTGTTTTGCCTTTCTCAAGGAGGAAATGCATAACAAGCGGGGTAAACGAACACCAAAAGCCTACCTCTAATCTTCGTCTACAAGTCGTGCGGCCACCGGAGTTAAGAACAGGGCTTTTTGCTTTTGGTATCGGTACTAGAGGCAGATGGTCCTAAAGTAAATGTTGAAGACTGTGTAAGATGCCGAAGGAAGGCAACGTTAATTTTTGGGTAGCAAATTAACAAGAACAAGAACCAGAACTGTACTAAAAAAGACTTCTTGGTTGCTAAGGACACAGCTGCAAATGGAACTGCTACAGCCGGAGGAGCCTCGAAGAGCAGCAATGTGGTGCGACTGCCTGCAACCAATGCTGGTGGTGAAGAGTTGCCGTCCAGTCAGGCTGTCCCGACACCCTCCCGCGGTGGTACGCAACATAATTCTCCATCCGGACAGAAGTCCCACGCTAGTGCGGTTATAGCGAAAGCCATGGCGGTCAGTGTGAAGAGAAAAACACATTTGAAGGGGCTTTCGTCGGCACTTGCGTTAAGCATTTCCGCATTGCATTGGTCACAACCATCCCTGGCTCTTTTCCAAAAAGGAGAGAGGGATGTTCTGAGGAATGTAATTCCGTAGCCTGCTCTAATTGTGGCACAGAAGATTGAAGGGATCGAAACGAAAGCGAAATTACATGCGCAACTAGCGTGTGAATTTCCGACAAAATTACCAGCAATAGTGGAGATGGACTATCCGAAAAGGAAAGATGGTACCGATTTGATGCATGAAGATGTTGAACATTTTCAAAGAAGAAACCAACATTGTAGCAACTACTTGTTCATTCTTGAGAATTTTATTCTCGCCGTTATTTGTATTTCATCATAGAACTACAGTGCCTGCTGAGTAGAACTAGTGCCCGTTATAGACATTTCATAGAACAACAGTGCCAGACTAGAACTAGTGCTACATATAAATTCGAAAAATCTTTCATCAATATTTCCAGTCCCCTACACTTTCTTGGACGTGGATCCTGAGAAACGGGCTCTAGCAACGAATGCGAGACTGGAGGAGATGGAGACGCTGTTACGTCTACGAATAGCCGAAGATGACGAAAATGTGCAAGAAGGGGCAGTTGGGGAAGAAGCCCACGTCTCTCAAGAAAAGTCCCTAGTGGGTCGGGTGCTGTGTGATGACGTATTCACGACTAGACTATCGTCAAGTTTTAGTTACGGTTCGTCTATCTCAGTCTCTCAAGAAATACATTAATATACCCACTGAAGTAAAACGAGAAGGCTTCTACTTAGCGACGACCTTGATTACCTGCAGCTTCCGCTGCTTCTCGCCTTCAGCTCACTCTCACGAAACCACAGGACGGCGCTGGGATTACGCAAGCCAAACTGAACGAAAGCAGCCTTTTGCTAGAAGGCAGCAGAAAATCGGGCGCGCACCGAATATATTTCTTCACGTCGGATTGCGCAAAAGTTTCTACATTTCCCGGACAGATTATGTACAGTCTCTTGTTTTTTGGAGTAGGACCAACCTAGTTTTTGATGTAGCATGACGCTCCACTCGGCTACTGAGTGATGCATTATATGGTTCTTAAAAATTCAAATTCTATGAACACCACATGACTCCACCTTCAGCAGGACGCACTTAAAAACACCACAGATACGCCGTCGGACGGGGAGAAAAGGATAGGTTTCATGCGAATCGTTTCATACCTGGTGTTCCTGTCCCACCGCGGGAATTGCCTTCGCCTACGAGTGCGCCAGTCCATATTCTTGCTGCCAGTGGTCCGTTCACAAAACGTGGCGAGATGGACTACTCACCCCTAAGGGCAGTCTTACAGCACGCACTAGCAGTGAAGCCGCAGATGGTCGTCCTAATGGGCCCATTCATGGACGCAAACAATAACGCTGTCCGAGAAGGCTCCATAGCGGAACCAGTTATGGACTTGTATCGTATAAAGCACTTAAGTGTATGTAAAACACGAACACCACTGCCAGTTCTACTTTTCGTTGCCGAGCCCAAGCCGGAAGGCAAGCACAGGACGGAGTCAAAATTTAGAGAGCACCTCTTCACCTTCTCCCACTCCTCCTCCCCTCCACGCGGGGCTACCTCTCCCCCCACCAGCTCCTCTAACTCCAATGGCAAAGACACAGATATCTGGGACGTCATCGAGGGTGCGTTACTCCCCCTTTTGTTAGATTTCGTGAGGAAAATGAGGGAAGCGGAGTGTGAAGTTTTGATAGTACCCAGTCCAGAGGAGGCGATGTATCTTCACGCGACACCGCAGCCAGCCTATCCGAGTGTTTTTCTTCTGCCCTGTTGGAACCTTTTGGCGGAAGCGGGTGCTCATCTGGTATTTACAAGATTATAGGACGACGAAGTATGCTCATGCTGGTGCACGTAGAAAGAAAGTATGCGTCCCTACTCTTCAAATATAAACCAAGAGCACATACTCCTACTCACACATCTCCAAACCCAGAAAACCCTCACATCAGGCACCGAACCCCTGTTATCTGCGTGTGAACAACGATGTGACGATATCTATCACCTCTCAAGACCCACTAACTCCTCTGGTCCGATCTTTGCTCGTGCGACCGGAGCCAGAGTCCGGTGGCAGACTAGAGGAGGTCATGCGCCATCTATTGTGGCAGAGATCGTGGTTCCCAAGAGATGGCGTCGAACGAGGGATGACGGCCAATGTTACTACTTATGATTGGCTGTGGGAGGATGTGATGTAGTTCAACTCTGTTCTCGTCTTCAAAAGTCGATAGATTTGAACCTTGCAATTGTCTGAAAGAAGAGAGCAGGCGATGGCCCACACCGAACCTAACTGACCTAACCTAACGCTAAGCTGTTCTCGAAGATAAAATGTTTGTTACTGTTGATTTTAAGAAGCATTTATTTCGTCATTTGCCTTTCGGTTTCTCATTTGCCTCTCGGCTTCTAACCTTCCCACGTCGACATAATGCGAAGGCAGCGATTTGAGTTTATCCGGAAAATCGACGCAAAAGGAGAAGTAGTGCAGCACGACTCTGACGATATCCATGAACAGGACTACATTTAAGGGTAGGCTAAAGGTGCTTTTGTTACCGTTTGTTATGGCTCTTCTAAGGGGGACAGCCATAACAAGCGGGGGAACCCACGAACACCAAGGGCCTACCTCTAATACATCAAAATGCAGATGAGCAAGGTAGCGGCCGGAAAGGGCAAGAAAGCACGTGTAGAAGAAGAAAAACCACCAGAGGAAGAGAACTTCGACATTGAGGATTGCATTCCAGACGTCTTGCTTTTCTGTTCAACTGCAGGTCGAGGATTTTTATGGTCAAAAGCAGCTTGTTCTTGTTGTTGTCTTCATCAATGCCTGAGAATGAATACCCCACAACCTTCACCTTCATTCTTAAACGAGTTTTTGTAGCTACAACAACATTGTCATTGTCTTCAACTTAATCATCGTGCGAGAAAGTATCCCACGAGGATGAACTTCATGTTGATAGATGTCCGTGTAAAAAGTCTTCTTTTTTCATCTCTAACTTTACAAGCGAATTTGGTCGAAGGCCGCCTCTTCGCGAATCCAGGACAGGCATGCAAGGCGCAACAAACGGGCACCTTCTGCGAGCTTTTCCTGCATCCAGGCACCAAGGAACTTGGTCGCGTAGAAATCCGAAAGATCCCTGAAACAGTAATGGGGGGATCGAAGTAGAAGTCCCAGGAGGAAACTGTTGTAAGTCCAAGTCCCGGCACCAGGAACAGGATAGTGTTGTGTCTGAAGCTATGAAGTATCCCATTTTTCTTAAGGGACTCATCAGAAAAGTTGGAAATGCTGCAGTTGGAAGTGCTGATCATTGTCAGTTGGAAATTGCTTTTATATCTCGAATTTAGAGGACTCTTTTTGTGTACTTAATCGAAATCGAATTTGGAAGGAAAATTAGTACACCCGCTGATCATGGTGACGGAGATGGAGGTGTGAAGATCGATGTACAACTTTTTTTGAATGAACACTCACATCCAGCATGGACCAAGCTCTGGTTCTTTGGCTCAACTGCAGGTCGAGAATTTTTATGGCCTTCAGCAGCTCGTTTTTGTAGCTACAAGACTTGGATCCTGGCGTTCGCACCTAGACTTGGATCCTTGCGTTCGCACCGCAGCAGGAGGTCTGAGAGCATTAGAAATAAGGGATTGTTGAAGATGTCCTTGTTCTTGCAAGTGCCGTTGTAGGTATCTCGACCTAATGATAGAGAATGGCCAAGCTCTTTTCGCTTCATTTGCCATGAAATCGTTTCAGAAAGATTTGAGTTGTATTTGCGAAAAGGTTTTCTTGTTTTCTTCATCTTGGTTTCCTCGATTTCCCTCTGAAGATTGGGTCGGCAATGCTTGCAATTCGGTTTTCGTGTAGATCTTTTTCCATCGAAGCATGGTTGTCCACCTCGTCTGTTGTAGCAGAAACTTATCTTTCTCCATCGAAACATGGTTGTCCACCTCGTCGGTTGTAGAGAATATCTTTCTCCATCGAAGCATGGTTGTCCACCTCGTCTGTTGTAGCAGAAACTTATCTTTCTCCATCGAAACATGGTTGTCCACCTCGTCGGTTGTAGAAAATCGAAAAAGTAAGTGGCAAAAAGAGTCGTGTGAAGTAGTACCAGTAATGCGATGAAGGAAATAAACATCAACAACAATGAAATAGGCATTATGTTGAAAGGAGCAAAAACATAGTGTGAAAAAATCAATAGGGATAGGCGTCGACAAATTTTTGTTGATGACTGCGGGCGCGCGTTCGTCTTCAATTATAGGAAGAGAACTAGTAAAGACGTATAGACCAGGGCCAGGCAGCAACGTATAGACCAGGCAGATACAGCTGGTATCAAGTATCCCAAGTTGAAGTTCCTCGAACGAGAATATAAAGTTTTGTGCGGAGAAGATCTAAATGGAATATTACTCGTTAGCATTAGTAGTTGATGAAAAATACGCATTTTGTCATAGTCAATGCCATGATAGATACGTGATTCAAATTCAATATTGTTAACAGAATCACATCTCTGCATGAAGATCGATGAGCATTTCCTTTCCTTGAGCTAATATTTCATCCACGCACCCACTTCCTGGTGTTCCTCTATGTATATAGTCGATCCACCGCTACACGTTAAAGCGAAACGAACATTTTTGCGTATTTCTGTTCTTGTTCGTACATATTCATTTGTCCAATATGTCCTCCCTCAACTACATGGGTCCTCTTCTAACTATCTCGTAGATTCTGAAATCTTTATACACGTTCACAATTCTACGCATAGTGATCATTGATTATGTCGTACGGGAGAGCAAAAATACAGCTACACCGTGGACATTTTATCAGAACGCAGTCTAACTCTATCTGAGTATTGTCATACCTCGTAGTTTTACTGTAAAAGTAGCATTAGTACGTTGCTAGAAACATCGTCCTTGTCATGGTACTACTACTTTTTGTTCTTTAACAGTAAAGTTAGACGAGCAACCACAAGAACCACACTCTCTTTTATCCCTGAGACCTCAATCTCCTGCTTCTCCATCGTCCACAAGACAGTGGACGAACGCGAACTTTTTGAAAGAAATATCCCGTGATTTACATCAAAATTTAGATCTCCTTCAGAGTTGGCTAAGACTAGTAGCAGTCAAAAAAAGAGCTAGTACCTCCAGGTCAGCAGTGCTACTACTTCCACATCCAGAAAAACAACCTCAATCTCCTGCTTCTCCATCGTCAACAAGCGGCACAGCAAGATGAAGTTGCTCAAGGCCCCCGCCCCCGCCGGCGCAGCTGGCGGCAATACCTCCGCCAATAGTGGGATCAAGACGTCTTCTAAACCACGGCTATTGCGTGATTTGGAGGAACAAGCGATGAATTTGATTCCGCTTCACGACCGAATTCGAGACTACGAAAGGTCCGAATATCCTGCCGAAATCAAGACTTTCCTAGCTTCACAACTTTCTAGGGATTGGGCAGAAAGCGAAGATCGGAGACATGTACTCACTCACTTAGATCGCCATGAGCTTAGTCTTAGTCTGAGCCCGTAACTGTCCTTTTTATCTGGTTTCCTATCGTTATCTAGTCTAGCTACGAAGTTGTAAAGCAGATTTTTCAAAAAGATCATCATTACCAGCTACACCGAACTTCCCATGTCCGCAACTACCTCCACCCCTCCAGATGATCAAGTTTCTTCTCCAACGCTCCAACGATATGAGCACGAACCGTTGCGACCTCATAGCGCATCAGGCAGTAGAGCTGTTGGATCGGTTTGTGAGTCAGTCCGAAGATTGGCATCCTTTCATGGGGTTTCCGGCCCTCTTTGTCGCAAGAAAACTCCACGACTCGAATCCTTTTGTTGGTATTGATTTATTAGTTCATTCTTTAGGATTATTTGCTGATGTCCGGTCTTTCGGTACCAATATGTCTAGAAAAATCACCTTTACAACTACTCTCTTCACTCCCACAGAAACCGACGACTCGTATGAGTGTATTTTGAAGCGATTTTTAGCAAAGCACGTTGATTGGACGCAAGAAGAATGCGAACGAATGGAGATCGATTTGTTGACGCGCTTGAATTTCCGACTTCTCCGCGATCCACTGCCTCGCGAATTCGTGTCTTGGTGCGGCAACGTAGCAGGACTCTCGAACTTCGCGCAGCGCAAAGCTCAAATTTTGCTTGAGTGCCTCTTTTTTCGGCCAGCAGTAGCCTGGTACCCGCAGAGACCTGCGCTGGCGGTAGCTGTTGCGTACTTCTCTTGTGGGAGCGAGGACTGCCAGAATAAAGTGCTGGAAATAGCCATGCAGCACCACAGCTTGCTTCAGGCTGTTCCGGAAGTTCTCTCGCTGATTGATGCGTTTTTCAAAGCAGCTCCTGTCACAACGCCTTCTACTTCTTCACGTGGCCGCGGCATTTCTAGTTCTAGGCGAGCAGTTGAAGAGTCATCAAATTCATCAACACCACCAGAGGACTCGATGAAGGCGCAGCCTTCATCATGGCCTGGTCCGTCTTCACAGACTTCTCGTTCTCCTAGTCCTCCTCCTGCTTCTACACCTCCTTCCACTTCTAGTGGAACCTCAAGGCAAGAAACGAAGGAGGACAATAGAGGCGATGCAGACTCTGGCTTTCTAGCTGTATTTAGACACGTTTCCAGCAACCATCCTGATTTTCGGGGGCAGAGTGCTACTTTGGCCCGTTCCTTCTGGGAAATAGGCAACACGCGCTGGAATCAGGTGGCAGCCAGTTGGGCGCCAAGTCTGGCGAAAAGACAACGGGCATTGGGCTACCCTATGCCCTCACCAGTCAGACCAAAGAATGAAGGCGCGGTGCGAACTAGTAGCTGTCATCTTGCTGGGCGTTCAGGTTCACCTGCTGACTCCTTCTCTGGAGCCGATACTTGTGGCGTCGTGCTGTTCGGAAAAAGAGATGAAGCATTCAGTACAACTAGTACAAGAGCCTCATCTACTGCAAGTATTTCTTCATCGGCATCAACTTCTTCATCTTGGATGATACCTAGTCATGCTACTACTGCCAAAGTCGGAGATAGAGACTGCACGTTTTCAACGGATCCACCTGGATGCAGCGGATCGGGTGAGGAACGTGTTGGAAATGCATCTTCATCATGTTCAGCATCGTCTTCAAGTAGCTGCTCAAATTCTTGTTCTTCCGACGAAGAAGTTGTCGCGGAACCTCCAGCTCCAAAAAAGAGCAGAACGACGAGTCATTATCCTATGCCGTCACCTAGCGTACATTCACATTCAGCACGTGCTCCTGACGATGTCCTCATGCATGTTGTTCCTGAGGGTAGTGCCAGTAGTTGTCCTCCCGGACCCGGAGGGGATGCATTCCATCCGAAGGCGGAGGCTGAGGAGAGTAGTAGTAGTTGCACTAGGAGTTGTAGCAGCAGTTCCTCTTCTCATCAGCAGAAAGAGGAAGCAAGTTCTTGTAGTGCAGATGGTTGCTCCACTTCTTCAAACCATCGTCAGCAGGATCACCAGGATGAAACTAAAGAGCACATCAGCACTAAAAGCAGCAATCATGAAGAGTGCCAGGTGCAGATCCAGAACGAACCTGAATCATCTCAACCTTCTGGTCGCAGTACTAGTGAACTTACGTGGTGGAGCTCTGACTCCTACGATGACATGATACAATCCGGCTGTTCTAGCTGGAGCTCCTCTCCAGATGATGCTCGTAACGGAGCAGTGGATGAGCATGAAGATGCACTGACTTTGTCGTCGCCACCTAATTTGCCAGAACCCGGTCTCCCAGAATTCGTGGTGAAGAAGGTGAAGGGAGTAGAAGAAAGAAGTCATGTTGGTGAGTACGTTTTTTGCGATTACAGTACGGGTGCGGCACAACATCTTGTGGAGGAACAAAGAAAGGTAGAATGATCAGCATAGATGAATTTTGGAATATTTACGATACCGAACTACATGCACTTGCTCGCATATTCTATTGCATGAAGTAGCTAGTCTGGCTCCAAAAGTCACGAGTATAAACCAACGTACTACATCAAGTATCCTCGTCTTTAGTATATCACGATCATGAACATGAGTTAGTCATTCTTCTCATTGTAACTCATTTTCAATTTCATCTAAATTTAGAATTGCTTTGTCTTGCTTAGTAAGTAAGTATGTTCATCTACCTATGACTTCACAGACTATAACACCGTCTTCACGATCTTAATTTTTCTGCATGGTCATCGAGATCTCGCATCTTAGCAAGTGTCGTCTTTTTCAACTAACAAATATATAAATAGCACAACTCCGTTTTAGTTTTCCTGTCTACTAGTACTACGTACCAATACTGACACCGACCGAAAATCAACGATGAACTCCGTTCAATATCTTCGAACTTCTCATCGATCCGCCTTCATCCCCAACCCCATACCCTAGCAGTATAAAGCCCAATAGATACGAAAAGTATAAGTATGACTTTTTGATTCAACCCCTTCATCTGATCCCCGCTATTTCCTTTCCTCTACTTTTACCACAATTTTGCAACATCTCCGTTTCCCCGAGTCAAGTCACAACCTCCCTGACAGTCTTCGAACTATTTTCTGAAAAAAAATGAATAACAATAACAAGTAGCGTGATTTTATCTACTTTCCAAAAAGAACTATTTGAAACCAACCACACAATGTCATGAAACATGAATGAATTTATCGTAGAACTAAGTTTCTCTCAGTTTGTTTAGGTATTCGATCCTATGGCCATCTATCATCCGAAGTTTTTCTCGATCGTTATTCGTGTAAGAAATTATTGTGAAGATGTATTCGTTCCCTAATAAGTAGGGATTCAAAAACAGGAAGAAGAGTGACGCGATGACCACCACTTATGTTTGAACTATTTGTCATGCAACAAGACGCAAGAATAAAAACTATTCCACCTCAACATCTAGTACTTCTCAATCTGGTTTTGCAAGTTGAAACAGGTAAGCAAGACAGTGAGAAAACTACCACCGCGCCAATTGTTCTCTACCTTGTTGTTGTGGCATCGCGTGATGTTTTCTGTTTCCCTTTCCACGTGATTTCGGTCATGATCGGTATGTACTAAATGTAGGTCTTTGATGATGTGAAAGAGAGATGCGGGTGGTCCCCGGGTATGATCCTTGAGCACACCCTGACCCTGTCAGTGAAGAGCGATAGCGAGAAAACTCTCATTATTTTTCGACGCGTATGTCTGCCAGTTTTCCTGGTAGGCCCACACCTAACCTATCCTCGACGGAAAGATGAGCGATGAATGAGGGAAAGGTCGTATAGTAGAAGTTCCACTGCCGATATCCTCTCAGTCACATGATGCCACGGTATCCTGCTCTCAGTTACAGTCTACTCCATGTCGTAACCATTTTTTTTTACCAAGATCAAATCTAAGTCTAAGTGCAAGTACAACTAAATAGATTCACATCATCAAGTGCAAGAGTACAACTAAATCTAATGAGCCACCCGGTGCTCAATGCGCAGGGGTGAGGCGAGAACCCCCCTAAATCCTAAATCCTAACGAACAACAACAACATAAAGATGAGCACTCCGACATTCCTGCTTTCCCTCCACGTGGTCTTTGTCCTATTCTTTTTGAACTTGAAGGACAGGGACACCACTCGCACTTTTGTCAATGCTTGCCGACCTAACCCTGCTTTAGCATCGATTCCGTCCTCTTGGGAGGATGAGAATGCGGTCGTGCCTTTTCGCACACATGGCGTGGAAGGTACTTTCATCCTATTGCAGCATGGCGCGAGTCTGCTGCGACTACCGGCAGAAGATGATACGATTGTAAGGCGCACGAGCACGAGAAGGCCATCAAGCAAATTTTTTAGCAAGCTTCCGAATTTCATCCCGATGTTGTAGGTGTACTTGTAATGGTACTCTACAGAAAAAGTTGCAATTACTTATGCTGAATCATGTATCGTGTGTTGACTTTTGTCCTTCTTCCTCTCTCATCTCTAACCTTCCCACCTGAATACCTTGAACGTCTGGGATTCCCTGAGGAGCACGGGATCTGCATTGCGATTCCAGATGTTTTCACTCGTGGCAACCTGATTCGACTGCGGTCGGACCTGTCCTCATCCATGGTCGACAGCGAAGAAATTCTTCATAGAATGCTGAATAATGCAACCTTTACTGGGATAGGATACAGTTCAAGTTCGGATGAGCAATCCGCAACTGCAACGGCAGGTCAAGATTGGTCTAGATTGGGCTTAGGCCGTCCACCCGATGAGACACGACTGGCGAGTAAGCTGCGTGGTTTGGGTGAGCGAGAAGATGATGCAGGAACTAGTCAAAGACTCCAGCAGATTATCGCCCAAAACAGTTTTTTCTTGAGGCAGAAAAAACAGCAAGTTGAGCGATTGCTTCCACCGACCGGGCGGTACTGTAACTCGCTCATCACCGACGGCTCTTTTTGGAATCCGGAGTTTTTGTCGAAATTCGAGTTGCTGCAACGATGGCGGAACTTTCTAGCAGTGCAGAGTGGGATCCTGTTAGTCCTGGGACCCGATGCGCCAGTCGAAGATCGGCTCAAGGCCATCCTTCCGACTAAGAACGCGCCTTTTGCAATGGCGCACTACGTGAATGGGAGAGTCGATGATATCGCCTCCGTTGTCGAAGTAGTGAATGAGGCGGTGAAAGGACAGCAAGAATCCGACGGAAGCTCCGAGATTTCCTTGATTCTGATTCTGGGTACGCAAGCAGAATACGCCACAGCACTGGGGCTGCAGGTCCACTGTCTGGCTCCAGTTGTGGATGGTGGGGAGATGAAAGTCCTGCCTCAAGACGAAGATTTCGCTTTACAACAAAGTAGTGCGATTACCTGGAGACTTCTCACGCGAAACTACGACGATGCGGATGATTTGATGCTAAGCACGACTAGCAGCTCGTCTAGTGAGCAAGGTGATGTCGCCGAACAAACGAAGATCACTGATTTGGGCTTAGCAGAAAATCGCGCACGACCTGAATTTGTGATGAATCGAGCAGAAGGCACGACAGAAAAACGCATCCTGCAGAAGGGTCGTGGACCAACAACAAGAACAAATAATGCAGAGGTGGTGGCTTTATTCGACGACGAAACAACATCAAGTTGTACGTTCAAATCTCTGGATCTAAACGGCCCCGAATGGGAATTGTTTGTGCAGCCAACCGCCGAAGGTGGCGGCGAATTAGATGACGACAATAAGCTACTCCTTTCTCTCGGGAATATCACAGTCCCTTTTGCACCTCAGAGTGCGCTGTCTGGTCTCCAAACGAAGATATCAGACACGGAGCGTCTTTTCTACAAACGGACTGGTGTGAGGTTGCCGAAACTCCCTGTTAGTAGTGGTGCAACTTCCAGCACTAGTTCTAGTACCACAAAGTGGAAACTCCGCTTAGTGGTAGATGGTTGCGACTGGGCATGTGAGGTTTTTCTAAATGGCGAGTCCCTCATCGCGCATCAAGGTGGGTATGACCGATTTGAGGTCGATATTCCCTCAAAATTTGTCCAAGCTTCGGACAATAACAAACCTCTAGAACTAGTTATCACCGCTTGGGACCCAACCGACAAGGGCTGTGAATTCGTGCAGAGTCCTCCAGTACCGTGCATTGAATGTTAAGGTTAGTGTTAGTGGTGTTGACAGTGATTGTAAATGTATCTTTCTACCTACAACAAAATGAAACTGCTGTACAACTTACTACCTTCTCAAATTCTAAGAATCCTGCCAAATCGCTACGCAACCGAGAGGAAAGCAGACGCTAGAGCCAGGTTTTATCATGTACAGTCCGGTCACTGGTATCTGGCGTGGCGGAGTCTGGATTGAGACGGTACCGGATTGCAACCTGTTGGACTGGAGTTGGCAGTATAGTGCAGTCGACAAAAAACTCACACTCTTCGGTTTCGAACTATCCAGTGGATGCAAAAAGATTCTTTCCGGTAGTGGTCGACAGCAGTTGGAATTGAGTGCAACTTTCAAAAGTTCATCCTCTAGCACGACTGCTTCTGTTTCTTCTAGTTCCAGCCCTCAAGAACTAGTGCGGACGGGAACCATCACCCTAGACGCAGGCATAGTTGGAAACGAAGACACATTGGCGAAGAACTACCAACAAAGCGAGATCGTATTTGAAAACCTTGTGGGCTTCGAGGAGTGGGACGTCGATCATGCGGTCTTGCATTCACTGACTTTAGAACTGCAGCTAGTAGATGGACAACAACAACAAGAACAGCAAGGTACAGCAGGTAGTACAGCGGTCTCAGGAACAATAGGACTGCTCAAGACTACACAGCCTTTGTTCACGTTGCACCACTCACTTGGTTTGCGAGAGCTAGTTTTGGAGAAAAACCAGTTGTACCTCAATGGCAAACTCTTCTTCCTTCATGGTGTACTACATCAAGGATACTGGCCAGAAAGCTTGTTGACGCCACCAAATGACGAGGCTGTGTGGCAGGAGGTGCGCGCGATGCGGGCAGCCGGCTTCAACACTGTTCGCGTTCATATGATCGTTTTCCCGCAAGTTTTTTACGCCGCTTGCGATGCAGTGGGGCTTCTAGTGATGCAAGACATGCCGAATGGTGATGGTCGCGTCATCCCAGCTTGGGATATGCACCGTCGAAATCGACAGAAGGATATGGAGAACAACACAGGCTTTGACGAGATTGTAATTATGGCTACAGCGGACGAGTGCAGGTATAATTCTCAACAACGTCATTCTTGCTTTTTTTCAAGATGAAAAAGAAGGCAAGTTGTAGGAAGATGTTCTACTCAGGGAAGATGCGATAGATTGCGAACGCAATACATAGCTCTAAAGTAAGGTCCAAAGAAAGCTATGCAAATTTTTTGGCTGAGTTGCGTGCCATGATGTTTCAGCTGAAGAAATTTTGCAGTGTGGTCGTGTGGGTCCTGTTCAACGAAGGGTGGGGACAAAGCAAAACGCTAGAAACCGTTCAACTCGCGAGATTCTGGGATCCGACGAGGCTCATAGATGCAGTCTCTGGCTGGAACGACCCACTGCTATTCGGCGAGCCCTATCCGATCATACAATTCGAGGAATATTTAGATACGCAGGAGAAAACGCAATTTGCCTTCGACATAGGAGATTTTTTCGATGTGCATAACTACGAAGGCAGCCCATTCCAAAACCTGACGAAAACTTTCGACGTTTATTATGGCTGCAACATCAGTGATGTAAACCTCCTAAAGGCTAGCTTCATCCATGTCTGTACAGTTGATGTATCTACTACCTTAGCTTCTTCTTGTTTCTCAGATGAAAAAGAGGTAACCAGATGATCCTAGGCTCTACCCACGACAAGAAGGAGAAGGATGATGCGACTGCTCAGCACTGCCTTATATTTCTCTACTTCTAAGTCTCTCCCTTTCCTCTAGCCAACAGACCCATTTTAGTTGGGGAATATGGCGGCATAGGGCATTCGCTATCCGAAGCCCATGAGTATGACCCGGATGCGAGTTGGGGTTACGGCAACGTTAGGCGAACACGGCAAGGCTTCCTGGAGGCAGTTGGTGCCGTATTCGATCGATTGAGGATACTCGCGTGTAAAAAGGAGTACAATTAAGGCTTAGATTTGAGGATGAAGAATTTTCAGCGAGGAGATAGAAGGTGAGAACTAGCTACTTCTCGTGGAAGATGAAGTAGAAAATGACCACTAGGACTACTTCTCCTGTAGTATTAATACTACCATGATAATCACAATTTGATCCTCTTTTTCTTTCGCTTGCTTCCTCTAATCTGCCGTCGTTGGTGGTGTCTATACCCAATGGACAGACGTAGAGACGGAGATCAACGGTTTAGTAACCTACGACCGCGTTCCGAAGATGAAGATGAGGGATCTGCGCGATTTGAGCGAGATGCTGCAGAAAGGCTATCACAGCTGCACAACAGCACGCTGGTCATTGCAGCTTGCAAGAGGTGAGCTACCTGGATCGAAGGCTAACATAATCGCAGAAGGAGCAGATGAGAACGAATAGACTTAGACTTTAGTCAGAACAAACATAAAGATGGTATTATCGCTATAATTGGAAGTCGAAGACAATCTATCACCCGCATGTTCACCGCCAGCAAGAAGCACTTTCAAGAATTCTAGATTGATGGCGAAAAATGAAGGGGCACACTCACACGGACACCATCAAAATTTACCAAATATTCTACAGGAGAAATCTTCAAATGCCAATGAAACTGAAATGTTCTTAGGAAAATCGATTTATCGCCATGATCGCATGTTGAGAAAGAAAAAGATAATTCTAAAGCGGTTCCTCTTCCTGGCGTTCCAAGCAGAGGACTGAAGGTGGCATTGTCTCAACAGATGTTGCTCGGTGTAGTGTTAAGAAGTTGACTCATAATTCTGTTCGAACAATTGAAAAGATGAAATGTTGACCACACTTCTCCTTCTTCAAGGACGAGCCACCTCATGATTAGATCACGCACCCAATAGTACCAATAGTAGTGCTACGATTTCTTCTTCTCCCCCCTCTTTTAGACGTGTATTTGAGAGGTAATTAGGAAAACGAAAACTTCATCCTATAATTCTAACAAAGTCGATGTCGACTGTTGTAAGCTCACTCCGATTAGGATCGACGCGGAGCAGCATAGGAACTGGCGCCTTATTGTTTTCGTATTCTAATATGTGGCGACAGCAGGCTGAGAGCTTCTTCTACTCGGTTTGAAGAACCCTCATCAATAGGTCGGCTTGGAGTCTTCACTACTTCTATTCGAAGTAAATTATTGCATCCATAATTAGATTAGTACTACAACTACACCGTGACTCATCGATATATATTTATTATAACATCAGAAGAGAGAGTGAGACGAAATAAAAATGTTGGGTCCATGTAGGCAAGCTTCTTCTTCATGGTATTCAAATCAACGCTCGATGAAGACGATGAGACACAACAAGAACAAGATGATGTCCCTTGTTTTGTTCAAGATCTTCATCTGCTGGATTAGTTCGTCTTCTCGTCCAGCATCTGCCAGTATTGGAGCTGCAGCACCACCGGAGGATCGTGCAGAAGTGTGTCCCATTTGTATGGAACCACTTTTTGATCCTGGTATTAATACAAGTAGGAGAAATGCAAATTATGCAGACAATCACACGGAAGATGACGATGTCGACGCAACTTTTCATCTTGCTTTTGACATTTTCAAGTGGTTCTTAGAACAGATAGACGAAACGAAAGACGTGTGCTTCGATTCCGAAGGCGTAGCAGTGATGCTTCACCAAGATCCGGTGGAAGAGTTTGTCAAACAAACGCTACAACCGTGGGCGAAGGCACCACCTGCAGATATTCGTCACCCGGGGGGTGGATTACCGTTTCAAGAACTTCAAGGAGGTGAACAACGACAAGTTGGAGGACAAGTAGAAGTAGCCCAGGAGGAGGTCGTGGAAAGACGAGAAGAAACAAGAAGAGAAAGAGGACTCGATGCTGCTGCTACAGCATCATCACTCTCACCCACAGCCTCTCCTCCCTATGCATTTGAGGAGTCTTTGCGGAATGCCTTAACTGATTCGATCAGACGACATATAGACGGACGAGGAGCAGGACCTCCTTCTTCAGCTGGATCAAGAAGCGATCAACATGTGAGGACGTACTCCAGCAGTGTCCCTGTTGACCATGGCATTCCCGTAGTGCCATATCCAGATCAGCATCGTCATGGCGCTCGACGAGAGGGGCCACCAGGCGAAGATGTTCTTGAGGGAGGTGGTGGGGGGAGTAGAAGGAGTGGCACAGCTTCTCCAACTAATATGTTGACCACTCGCACTTCTAGCAGCAGTATGCGACCACGCGGCGTCGGCCAACAGGATGAAGTCCGGCGCCAGAGAGAGACACTTTATCCTCCTCTCAGCACAGCAAATCCCGCTTTCGCGGCCACTCCTGCAGTCGGCAAGGCGAGTCCCGCACCTTTGGTGAGTAGAGGCGGACCGCGGATGTTTTTCAGACCGCAGCCTGTACTAGAAGGATCTTCCTCTAGCTCGAGTACAGCAGCAAACTACGGAGGTGCTCCTTCATCTGCACCTCCATACCCCTCATCACTCGCTCCATGGCATCAGCATTCCCAGGCTATCATGGGAGGTCCTGGGAATGCTATCCCTCCTCCAACTCCTCAAAATCGTCCAAGGCATCAGATTATAGAGAACGTAGTCGTAGGGGTAGGGGAACATCAAGATGAGCACCGGGTAGTAGCGGAGAATCCACCACCCTTTGCAGGAAACGAATCTCGTCCGATTCAGCAAGCTTTTCAGCGTCTCGTGCGCACGATAGATCGAAAAGCCAAGAATACCATAATGGAGAGACGGGAACAGAACGCTTACGTTGGCTGTGTCAATTTTTCCCGTGTCGGGCGGATGGGACGACCCGCAAAGGCACATTTAGACATTAAGGCTTTCCTTGTTCAAGAAGGTGCTCTTTGTTTGTAGAACTGGTGTTGGTTCAATGATGATTCATTATTTTCATCCTGAGAACAAGAAGCATCATCTGTTGACTCATCTTGAAGAGAAGCATCTGGTGGAGGTAGCCTTTCTCTAAGAGGATGCAAGCACAACCTCTACTAAGGTTCTCTTCAAGATGAATCTTCTGGGTAAAAGGCTGATCTAATTACAGCATAGCAACAGTTTTCACTGAGACGATCCGTGCCAATCAGGTTCTCGGAGATCAGATCCTGGCAAAAATTTCTGCGGAACTACAAAGAGAAAGACTAGGAGACGGAAGGGACGACGATATGGAACAAGGAGGAGCGAATACTAACGTTAAGGGTAGGTTTCAGCTTTGGATGCTTCTGCATCTACCGCTTGTGATCATGGCTTATCATATCAGGGGAAAAGCTAAAGCACATAGCGAACGGGTAACAGGAACTCCAAAAGCTACCTACTTACCTCTAATATTTAATACATCGAACTACAAGATCATTTCAAGAGAAGATCCGTGGAAGAAGAACCACGTGTGCAGCCTTCGACAACATTTCAACAACAGTTGGAGCGGAGTCTTGTGGATATTCTCGATTGTGCTCTTGTGATAACCAAGGAGGCAAGGGCAACGTGTGATCTTCAAGGACCTTCGGATGGGAATAAGGAAGAAGAACTTCTGATTAACGAGGAAGTGAATCGCTTGAAACAATACCTGAAAGCACAACTACTTCTTCTAGATGAAGTTGAAGATAAGGGGACTCCTGCTGCTTCAGAAAAAGAACGCGAAAAAGACAAAATTAAGATGAAGCTTGAGGAACAAAAACAAAAGGAAATAATGGACAAGCAAGTACATCTACATCGAGGTGAAGACAGCAAACAAGTACAAGGTGAAGACATGAGCAAGCAACTACATCAAGGGGAAGAAGACCGCCATTCCCATCCGCAGGAGGACGAGTTACCTGTTCCTCTTCCTTTTTCAATGACACAAGGGCAGTTGCGTCACTGGCTCGAGGACCCCGTATATTAAGACTAGTAAATCACTATCTGCTGTGAAGTATTGTTCCGAGTGAGGCCCCCCTTGATTTAACGGGGAAACAAAAGGGAAAATCGAGGGCAACTCACTCAACCACGGATAGGGATTGTCTAGAGTTTTTAAGTATCTCGATCTTGGATTCTTGACGAGGAGGGAAGCGAGGAAAGCCCTACTGTAGACTTTGGGGAACTGTTGATGAAGCGCAGTAAAGTACTACTGCAGTTCCGCCCATTTACCTCAGAGTGCAAATATCGCTCACTTGCTGTGGAAAAACGAGCAAGTTCTTTATCATTCAAAATTGTCTCTACCGCTCTCGCAAGAATAATTCTAGAAGCGTACCACAATCAAGAACAGAAGACCCCATCTCCGACGGCGACTTCTCCTCAGCATAAACACGAGGAGCCTTCTTCTTGTTCTTCTCTTACTGAAGATTAAGGCCCTCATTACTCCTTCACCAAATTTTACAGGTCGTGCTCGTGCATCCTTGAGAAGTAAGTATGGGGGAATTGTATAGCAGAGGAATGCTTGCTCTCCCATACTTTTAAGCTCAAAGATGAAGCTCTAAGAAGAGAATTGCCTGAAAAGACGAAGCTTAGTGGGCGATTTTCTTTGCGATAATGAGGAAGAAGGCGCTCGCGTAAGAAGAGCAAAGAAGCAAAACAGAGACCGACATCGAGCTATTGCAAGTGGATGTCTTCGCTGTCCGGAAAATGGCCATGGAATACACAGGCGCTGTTACCACACATGGCTTCTGTCACATCAGAACAAGGACAGGGAAAGGACCGCGATGAGGGCGTATAAGTTATCTCGGGTTACTAGTACTCAGTGTTGTACGTGTAGTTTCAGTTTGTGTTAGTACCACATCAAATGACAATCAGAATGAAGTGGTATTATGATGATTGCTTTTATGAGTAGGTGCATAGTGATAGTCTGACTCTGGGTCTCTTATCGTCCGTGTAGTTCTTTCAGTTCCACCCTAGAACTATATGTAAGATGAAAACAGAACAAGGGCGTTGACGTTCGGTTAACTAGAAACCCAGAATGGAGAAAAATGTAAATGAATACTAGAGATACTAGCGTCAGAGGACCTCGTCGATAAAAGAGAACCTCGTCATCTACTTTCTAAAATTTGAGGCGTCAGAACAACCAGAAGCCCTTATGGATCGTCGTGGACAGATGCGCGTTCCGCGGCAGTTGACACCAGCGGAAGTGAATATCGTATTCTCCAGGACACAGTTTGAGGCACATTGTCCCATCTGTCGCGGCGTCGGATTGATGAAAGAAGAGGTAACTTTCACTGAGGAAAGTGTACGATCCCTCTATTGGCAGCTCCACGTTACCCTTGGTTAAGGCTTGAAGACGCAATGATCGTCATTTTTCCTCTCAAATTTTTCATCTGAAGTCTAAGAACTGAAGGGGAGAAGTTGCGTATAGAAGGGAAATCCCTACTCACCCCCAAAAGCGTACGTCTTTCAACAACAGGAACAGACTTTATTTTTACTTTTTGACCATTTTGGGCTGCCGAGTGAAAGGGCTAGGCCATGGAGTCGCTGAGCCGAGGGCTTCCCTTCAGCAAAACCCCCAGACCAAGAGTTTCAACCCCCGAGGTCCATCTTCTCCAACTTGACCCCTTTTAAGCCCTCAGTCCCACATGCCTCCGACTGAGCCTGCCTTCCGACAGTTCCCGCAGCCCTCGACCCAACGGCTCCACTGTCAGGCTCATGCGAATAGCCGACGAAGGTCGCCAAAAGGTGAAACTAAGTTCGGTTTTTTGAAATACTTATACATAACTTTTTGAGGGTGAGTAAGGCTTTTTGAAGGGGACGGGGAGAAGGTGTGACTTGCTTTCAGTTTCGGCTCTAACTTGGAGTGAAAAATGTGGTTTTCGTGAAGACAGAGCACTTACCGAAGAACTTTGTGGCTGGTCCGATGCCTATGGATGCGGAAAGTGCAGAAAGACTGCAGCAAAATATTGCTCGAGCTCCTGGCTGCAAAACTTTTCAACCGTCTTTTCCTGTTCAAAGTGACACGCTACCTTTCTTCAAAGTTGCAGGTGTAACGCCGATAAAAATGGAAGAACAAGAGATTGGATCTCGCTCTCGACCTGAACGTCGAGCACGACGACATGGTAGAAGAAGTACAACTAATGTTGCAATGGCAGCTGCAGGTCATCCTGCTGTACCTGAGCAACCTGCTGTACCTGAACCTGAGCAAACTGCTGTACTTGAGCAACCTGCTGTACCTGAGCAACCTGCTGTACCTGAGGAACCTCATACAGCAATTGTCCCAGTTCGTGTGACGTTACAGACTGTTGCTGGTGAGAGAGCACGTAACCTCTTGGGTAAAGACTTGCTCCACCTTAGAGGACTTCTAGGTCCTGGTTCTCCTAGAACTCATCTATCCGATGAACAACGAGAAGGTGCTCCCCTTGGTCGAACTCATCTATCCGATGAACAAGAAGTGCCAGCCTCTGCTAGTGCTGGGAGAGTAGCAGAAGGGCGTAGGATGAGTCGGATCCTCACCTGGAAATTGAAGGAGACACAGGACAGCAGAGACGATGAGGTTGCAACAAATAGTTGCAAAACAGAAACTGAAACTTCTGAAACTCAAAGAACAGAGACGCAGACCATGCCAAGATCAACACTTAGCAGTGAAAGTGGCCAATTCGAAGCTAAAGATCCATCAGTTGAAGAGATAGGCGAACGGTCTAGTAGCACACTTCCATCACGAAGAACAGGCTGCCAAAGAACTTCTACTCGACCTCCAGACTCCGGTTCCGCACAGCATGACAACGCAGACGCTTTAGCAGAAGCATTATACGCGCGTCTACCGCGTGGTAGCCGTTCCCTTTTCCGGATGTTAGGCTTGGAGACGACAGGTGGAAACGATGCCCGCGTCACTCAAGGCCAGACTGATGTCGCCGTATTTCTACTAGGCACGGCAGAAAGAGAGGAACTACACGTACACGAACAAGCACGTCAGCGCACTCATCCTCAACTCTTTGGTTGCACTCCTGGTAGAAGTACTGGTACAACTAAAACAGTAAGTGCTGACAACAGCGACAACCCATCGTTCTTACTAGAGCCGCGAAGCAAGGTGGATACTCTGTTGCTAAACTCAACGTCAACCTCAGCGTCTACGTGTGACGCTCCTTCTTCAGAATCTTCAAAGAAGAAATTCGTATTGAAAGACCGATCTCTGGTGGTGGAACCGGAAGCTAAAGCTGTACCAACTCCAACTGCCTGTACTTCTTCTTTCGCCTTACCTTCCAGTTTTGAGACAAGGCTGTTGCTGCCGCAATTGGTAGGCAAGGCTGGCGTACGCATTTTCGACGGTTCTCGCAGTATTGAGGACTCCAATCATGCTTCCTTATGGCTGGATCTACTGAAAACCGAAAATTACATTTTGTTTAAGTGGAATAAAAAAACCATCTAAGTACATCCACCACTCTCTTTCCTTGGCCGATTTCGATTTTCAATTTCTCATATTCCCTAAAAGAAGGATGTGAAATGAGTAGTACAAGAACATCTCAGAAGATTTCTAGGCAACTTCAGCTAATTTCTAGAGCTCTTCTAACAAAAGCAAGCCGTGGCGCCACGAAGGAGACCGCAAAAGGACCTCCCGCCCTCCTCGAGTATCAAATTGTCTATCCGGGTGCTAAAAAAGTGCTGCGCGAGGGCCGCATGATTCCGAGGACAAGCGATCAAGATAGGAGAGATGAAGAAGTTCATGGTCTTGACATGAAACGAGTAGATCTACAAGAAGAACAAGAGTTTCCAGACCAACCAAAGCAGCATGAATTTGAAGTGGTACAGACAGCACTCAATGGCTTGCTGAAGAATGCTACAACTGCTAGTCTTGGGGAGCGCGAACATAATATTGAAGTTGATGAAGCAAATGACTCGCGAAAAGCACTAGAGTGGGATATCGATTCTGCACATCTTCCCATGTTTTATTGGCATGCTGGTGCTATGGCTATGCCACAGTGACTACTACTTCCGGAGCAATAGTCAATAGCAGTAGTACGTAGTGCTTAGTATTGTAATGTCTGCAAAATAGACGCTGCACCTGAGATCATGGTTACGCTGCACCGCTTACAAAATTTCCATTGTGCATTACCACATGATCGTCCTAGTCGACACTGACGTTGACTTTATGTTTTCATGCAAATATCTGTAACGATTTTGTAACGTCGATTGAAAACGTCCACAGTTCGTTGAAAACATTGATATTTGATTCACTTCAAGATCAGCAAGCACGCACCTCTTGTGATAAGAAATTCAATAACGTCAAATAATGATAATGTCAGAGTCAGTAGTACTAGTTTTCGTTTACTAGTTTACAAATTCAACTGCGTCTGCAGTTTTTAGGTCCTCCAATAAACTTCAAATTGCAAAAAGAAAGTAGAAAAAGAAGTAGAAGAGGCGCCAATACAGCAGAAAATCGAAATAGAAGAGGAGAAGAAAATGCACAAACAATAATTAGCTAAGAGCTGACACCCGTAAATAATACTGGGTATATCTTCATCATCAGCACCATCACCGTTGCACAATGAATATGAATATGAATCATGCGCCTTTTTCTGATAAAGACAAGAAAAGTAGTACATACCTCGCGCTAAGCGCATCGTCATCGTTGATGCCATTCTTTGTTTTATTAGGACACCTTAACCTCTTTCAAAAGAAGAAAAAGGAGTCCTTAACGCTAGCCTTATGATAAGTGGGAAAAAACCTTCATGATCATGTGACGATGTGTGAAGACGTGAAGAACGTGTGAAGACTCATGCCAAAGCGCTATCGGTGCTCTGCCGCGTCTCTACGAGGGTCGCAACGGAATCAGGCAGCGTAAGTTGTCACGTGGTTCGCAAATGAGTGAATGCATAAACGAATGTGAACATATATTTGCGTTCGGCATGGTCATAGTGTATGCGGAAGACGAGAAGTCATCTCTTCAACAAGAACTCGATGCCTCGTCGGATCATTGCGAAATTATGGAAGTCCTCCTCTGATACTGATCTGAAGAGATCATGTCGACATTGCTGGCTGTTCTGTTTCGATGTGGGGAAGGAACCTGAGAGCAATTCTTGTTGAACACTGCAGTTACAGGCCGACGAAAGGATTAGGTCTACAGTTCCACTCCAAGATGTAAGTGTAACTACAACGTCGGACCCGAACGATGACCTTGAATCGTTATATTGATCGGTGGAAGAATAGTCGTAGGTCAAATCCGAACCGACTCACGTCATCAGTCTCAGTGAGCACCGTGGATCAGATCGTGGAGAACGTCTGTCGGTTTCGTCTTCGTGAACACCCCTGAACTCTGAACACCCATCACGCCCCACCCTTGAAGTGCTTGCCATCACATCTATATCCCCCGTTCTGATCTTCAAGAATTATAATTAAATTTTCTTCCCGTGTGATACTTTTTATTTTTTTATTTACCTCTTACTCCTGCACCGTGCGCGTGTCCTCTGGAGGTTTCTCTACTTTTCATAAAAAGTAGAAACTTGAGTTTCTAGAAACAGGTATACGATTTTTCATTGATCAATACCCCACACTCAGAAAAAAGTTTTTCATCATCAAGAAATAGTCGAGGCCAAAATGTATTCCGGACGGAGCCGCGGCTCTGAGTCCGCTCGTTCGTCGGCGCGTTCGGCCACTTCATCACGCATGATAAGTGCAAGAGGCTATGGAGGAGCAGAGGCATCTGCGCCTAGTATTAAGTCTGAAGACTGAAGCATGACCATAAGCAACATGGGAAATTGATTTTGTTTTTGATTATAATATTTTAACGATCTTTCTGCGGGCCCGGGCGCGTGCATTCGTCGGGGGGTACAACAGGTTTTCCGTGTGGACGGCGAAGTCCCTCCTATCCTATCCTATCCTATCCTAGTCGCACTCACTTTTACTTTCACACTCACGCTGGATAAAGAAGAATAGAGATAGACTCACGTTCATCGTTGAACAAGAAGTAGAATGGAGATAGTACTCACTGCGACTCGTCTGACTCACTCTAATAAAAGACCAGCTCCTTCACGAAGGCCGCCAGCAGTTTACTTTCCCGAAGTTGGAAACTACACACTCACAGGGATACCAGGTAGAGCTAGGGCCACTAGATAAACGGTTTAAGTACACGATTAACACACACACACACAAAATAACACACACATGGAGGAGGTTACACTACTTACTTTTACACTAGGACTATGATAATTATCATTACCGTAACTACTGTAATCCAGCTCATCTTAATGATCATTGACAATGACTACATTAATGTGTGTAGTATGGTCAAAACACGCCCCCACAGGCTACGGCGGCTATATCCCTGGTAAAATCTCGGAGAATGTAATCGGGTCTACGTTTAATCGATCCAACCAGTTAGCGGCAATACAGTGCGAGGAGCGAGTCTTAGACGATGGTCAGTATACGCAACAGCCTCACAACTATGCGAGACATAATCCATTTGGGATTACACTACCGCATAAACGGTACTGAATAATTATATAAGTACTTACTGTAGTACATAATGAAGATACAGAAGATTCACTCAGCATAATGAATGATGAGTTAGAAATACTACGTGACGACTAAAGAACATTTTGGTAATCATTTCAACTTAATCTACTTCTACATAATCTTCTTTCGACATCATCTTCTCACAACCTCCAGGGGCACCGACATTCCTGGTTATACTGGGTTCATACCTGGAAAGTACGCTGACGGTGTCTTTGGGCATGTGTATGCCAGATCCAACAACGTGTCGCAATTGTTGAAGCAGCGACAGTATGTCGACAGGTCACAGTGGATTGGACGCCTCTTCAATGAATAGGAAGATATAGCCGGACGATACGGACATGAAAAGGTCTCAGGACAGAGATGTCTCTAAAAAAATTAAATCAATGAATCAAAACCAACATTATCAACTACATTTCTGATGTTAGTTTACTCAAATAATCGACGAAACAAAATGTAAATGAATCGACAGTAGTTAGAGTAACTCAAATTAGCGATAGCGACACCTTGCTCTTGCTCATGAAAGCAATAGACTAAGACATCGTAGCCTAAGATCAAACGCAGGATGAACTTCTTATTATGATAGAAACAAGCAGAAGCAGGCGGGTCAGAATCAGGATGGAATGTAGCTTCATCACTGATTTAGATAAGAAGCAAAAACGGAATTTAGTAGCAGAGTTGTATAGCAAGCGAAACGCGTGTAATAGATTCATTGAACAGACGCCTGTATTGAACTAATCACGACTAGTAAAAAATATGTGCACCATGACCATCGCAAATGTATAGCTTAGCAATTATTTGTTTCGATATGAAACACAGAGGCACTATCAAACGCTGTAGATCATTAAGGAGCGCGAGGTGATTTACCTGTCCTCACTGTTCTCCCATACGAAGCGAGAGATGAGTGTTCTACCGTCAAAAACGAGAAATAAAATGAGTTGTGTTTATTTTTGATTTATTTTCCTCAACAAGCGCGAGGCAAAAAAGGTAAGAGAAGATCACTCCATGATCTCTTGTAACAATTTTCTTCCGGTTTTTTGAGTTTTCTTGATGTCAGATTTCCTGTGAGTCCGTCTGTAAAAAGAGGACGAGAGAGCAGGAATTCCACCAGTTCGAGTTGAATCCGAGATTACAACCGGAAGATGACCATGTGAATCTGAGTATGAGTGATAAGAGTATCCATTCCTTTTGTTTCTGTTTGACTGTGGTCACCGGCCGTCTCCCCACATCATACCACCTTTCACCACCTGCAAGCCATCTCATGTTTTAGATGGATTCTATATATAACCCTCTGCTAGTTCTTTCCCTGCCAGACCTGTCCTTCCTTATCCTTGTGCAAGTGTATTGATTCCAGCACCTCGTGCATCTGATTCTTGGATCTCGTATCTAGTTAAATCTGCACAGAGTTTCTGAAACCTAGGAATTGTGTCGTGTTGTGGTCTTCTCAATATTTACAATAGCTTTGTTCTCTAGCCTTACCCATATATATTAATGTAATTTTTGCGTATAGCTATAGCTACAGGAGGAGAGGTCAAATAGAACAAAATATATGGTACCTACAACCCACCTCGCCCTACGCCTACCTTTCTTGTTTATTGGTTCATTCGTATTATTCCGTCCTCGTCTTCGACGTAAGAGGTAGATGCAATATGTCTATCAAGGGTGCACAGAACAGAACGTAGCCGTAAGTACGTGTATTATTAGCTACACACTATTGACTAAGTAGGGCTCTACTTGGAAAAATATTTTTTGTTTCCTCCAATTCCGATATCCTAGACAACTCGTTGATGAAGTCCTCTTGCAAGTCGTTGTTAATCAAGTACAGTAGCAGTAGTTTCAACTACTTAACTACTCACGAGGTTCCTTCTCTGACGCAGACGAAGTTTGTCCACCTCCTACAAGGGGACAAGAACTACTACGTGTGTTTTTCGATGAGATTATATCTTTAGTCATACTTGGTATTGGTATAGAAGTAGTAGATATTGACAACATTCGTTGTAGTCTCGGGATGATATCTATATCATTTGTTGTAAAACCAGAAAGTCAAAAATCGGACGACTCCTCTTCTTGAGTGAATCGTTTATTTTTTTTCGTCGTAATTATGTAGTTTATGTTTATGAAAAAATGACGAAGATCATGAGGATGACAAAAAAGCAAGGACAAGAACATCTTCAGCACGAGGACACTAAAGATAAAGGTAGTCGTGCTCCTCGTGGGGGGGAAATTTATTCCCTATTGGATGTGGTGCCAGAAGCTGCTTTGGTCGTAATTTTCGAGTGCCTGGACCCGCTAGCATCTTTGTATGTACTCCAGGTTTTAGGCCGTGTGTCGTTTCAGCAACATCCGAACATCACGAGTACTACTGCGACAAGTAGAAGTGAGACGTCGTCGACGAGCAATAGTTGTGCTGTCGCTCTTGATGTAGTTGTGAGTCCGACATCATCAAGCAGGCCCCCCAACAAGAAGGACAAAGCCGACGAAAATGGAGGTCAATTAATTTGTAAGTCGAATGGTGCTCCGTCAGTATGGGGTACTTCACAATCAGCCCTTTTCCGTTACCGCATAGACTCGAAGAGTGTGCCAAACGACTTGTCAGATCTCGTTCATCGACAGCAGAACAAAAATGATGTCCATGCTGAGCAGAACAACAGCATCTTGAGTAAAAACTCTACTAGTACCTCCGTAGTAGAAGAACTATTAGACAAGGACCGTCGGGATCGGGTTCGGGATATCGATTTGATTAGCGCAGGTGTTGCAGCAACCGCTTTCTTGGCTCTCTCCACTAGTGGTGCTGTTTCTATTCCCGTTGAGGGCGTGCCGTTGCAGTTTGGACAAGATGCTGTTGTCCTGCCACTCGTGCATTTCGTTACTGGGATTGTGTTATGGCTGCTGGAATAAAGTTTAATTTAAGTACTCCTGTGACTCACTAGTATTTTCCCAAATACAACAAGCATCAGCACCATCTTACTCTTCTTTTCATCCTCTAATCCAACCCGTCCTGGCTCGCTTACCGCTCCTCCAGACCTTACACATTAGTAATTTGAGTTTACGGGACACGAGGCAAGACGTCAGCGAATTGCTGATGCTGTTGCAAGAGGGTTCTTGCCTCAAAGAGATCCGGATCGGAGCGCCGATATTTGATGTCTCGCACTCCAGTTTGTTCCTCCAACCTCCCACTTCTAGCGCGGGAACTGAAACTGCCTCGGTAAACGTAAACAGAAGTCCAAGTGTCACTGCAGCTTACGCTCCAGGATTACTCTCGTCGGATGTCAGAACCCTTCTATCTGCTGGTCCTAGTACTGCTACCCCTACCGTCTCTCAAGCTGGCTCAACGACTGTAGGACAGATCTGCGCAGGCATGTTCCTGAACGATATCTGTCAACGTGGACAGATTTTCAATACTCCTGGGCTTGGGCACCAAGAGACAAGTGGTGGTAGTGCTGTTTCTACATCTGCGACATCAACTATTACAGGGCCGTCTACTAGTACTATACTTTCTACCTCTTCTGTAGCGAACAGTGCTACATCGAGTGATAGTACAAGGACAAGCTCGTCTAGCGGTGCTGGAAACGTTAACCCGTCATTAATAGTGAACATGACTCATACTTCAGCAGAACGCGAAGTTGCTTCACAACTACTTGAAGATGAGGAGGACGAAGAGGTGAAGCTTTTCGGTAGTAGTATCTTAGCACGCTTGAGCCCTGAAGAGCGTAGTTTGGTTGAGACATTAGCGTGGTTGCGTGGCTGGTTCTCCCGTAAATTCGAGGAACGATCGCAAGAGGACTATCGGACACAGGTCTCGATTATTGCGAAAGAGGAAGAACAGCTGACTCAAAAGTTGTTGCGACTGCATCCGTCCAATGGCTCTCTTAGTATTAAGGCTCAACTTTCATCATAATTGGTCATGGAAGTTGGTCACTGACACCGAAGCGGAGACCCCTTGAGACAACACGGGAAATCTAAGGGAAGAAGGGGAAAGCTCTGTAAGGGGCCTTGTCCCGTTCAGAGTCAGTGACCAATGTATGACTGCTGGCCTTTAATAGTAGCATGGTAGGTGCTGGGACTAGTAGTGCCGATCTGATGCGTCTTTCGTGGAACATCGGCTCTCCGACTCCGATGGAATATATGGATCATAGTGGTCCCACTTCTCGGAAGATGTCCCATGATAGCGTTCTTGACAACGGGGGAATATCAGGTTCGGAATCTAGTGGCCCTTACCTTGATACAGGAGCACAACATCCTCTCTCAATGACTTCTCGCCGTCTTAAGCAAGTAGCGTCGAGCTCGAGCGCCTTTTCCTTGTCCGAAAGGTCCCCACGAAGCAGCCCTTGCAGGATGGAGCTTGAAAATAGCGATGCCTTAATATCGTCAAGCCAGGATCCTGCAAGCAAGGACCAAGATACCAAAGTCGTTGTTTCTTCGATAACTACGGTGACACAATCACAAGCACATCAACCTCATGAACGTGATCTTTTCCATCGGCCAAATATGTTATCGTCTCCTCGTTTAGCTTTAGCACGACAAGAATCGTTGATGGACCATGGCCCTGATGACAGTGCGCCCACTTCTTCTAGCATGTGTGGTCCAGCGTCGGCTCCGGCAGCACGGGGTGTAGGAGCAGGGGAACTACATCAACTACGAGTACATCATGGTCTTAGTTGTAGAGGCTCTCGAGAAAGGGTTCGCTCAGTACCCGCGAACCTGATGAACCGTGGAGGAGCAGAGAACAACCTACAGAGGTCTGTTGCTGATACCCAACGAACTGACAGTCAGGATCAAAATGCTAACCAAAAAACTCTACGCAGGCCAAGGCCACGCTCAGGTGATCGTCAGCAACAAAAATACGATACGCAGGGTAGCTGGAGCTGCAGGTGGAAACCCAACACAGATCAGAAGTCCTTCTCACGTTCACAAAGTGATACGTTGGGAAGATCACCCTCCACTGCTGCTTCATCTAAAGCTAGTGCAGGCGAGATCGACACGACTAGTAAAGACTCCTTTGCGCCCCAGAGCAGAGTTGCAGACCCCTCAAGTTCAAGAACATTCGATAGACCACCTCAAGAGCAGCATCGTTCCTCCTCTTCAATACAACCACAAGCACATGAATCTTCTGGAAAAAGAGTAAGAACATCCTCACACGTGCTCACGCCTGTCAACGCCACTTCAACGGCATTGCCAAATACTTCATCGATGCCAAATACGAATCCTCACAGTTCTTTGGCTACTAATTCTAGCTCTACTACTATGCCGAGAACGATGATGAACCCCACGGCCCCCAGTGGTCCCTCGTCGTTTTCATCAATGCGCGGTGGTGTTGCTGTTCCGTTCATGTCTCCTCCTCTCAGTCGGGTAAGCAGTTATCATAGTCAGTTCGGCATGGGTTCTTGCCCCGACGACTCCGAAGACGATGAAATGAGTATGACCTGGCAACCTAAATTAAAAATCACGCCTTCAGGTTTACTACTCTCGGGAGAAGGGGCTACACAAACAGGAGCAGATCAACAAGGCCAGCAGCCACTTTCTCCAAGTAGTAGTGCTGGATCGATTCTGCGATCTGATACACCAAAGTTGAAAGAAGATCATAGCTCCACGAACTCGAAGAGCCTCCCTTTTGTAACTGCACCAGGCGGAACGACACCGACACCCTTGTCAGCCACGACATCTTCGACCGCGCACGAGCAAGTAGTACGGTCGAAGATGTCGTGGCTGACGAGGTCGACTACTACATCAAGCAGTACGAAGAACAAACACACCTTCGACGCTGCTGGAACTCCTGCTACGACTTCTGCTTCAGGTTCATCTCAACAGGATCAGCAGCACGACCGATTAATGCGAGAAGTGGCGTATCGGATATGGCAACTGGATCAAGGTGTATGCAGTGTGCCAGCGTGTCTGATGCGCGGCCTTGCTGGACAGCGCATGCTCCGTTCTCTATCACTGTCCCGCGTGACGCCATCGTCTCTAGAAGCGGTGCCACAGCTCTTCTTGCCGAATTTGCAGACTCTGACCTTGCATTTCTCGTTGGACAGACGCTTTGTTTGGAACATTGGTCACTTGTTTTGCACGCCTAAACTCGAAGTCTTAGCCGTGGAAAACACGAGTCCCAACGCTCCTTGCAACGACCTAATTTCCGATTTTCCAGTCCTAGAAGGAGCGGAGAAACTTTTGAGCGACTTGGCGGCAGAAGAACTGGAACAAGAAGATGCCCCTGAGGCGTTTTTCCTGGACGATAGTACTTGTAACATGAAGATCGTCGACTCCAACAACCTGCATTTCAATGCACAAAGAGCATCGTTGAATTCCTTTTTGCGTGAACAACGGGAATCAGTAACGTGTGAGCCAATTCTAGAAGACCTCCATTGTGAGGACGATCCCGCCACTCGGTCTCTGACGAGAAATGATATGCACCAGGAGGTCTTGGCCTCAAGGAGTGATTCAAAAACTTCTTCCGTGGGATGTTCCTTTTCTGCAGAATCCGATGATGCACGTTCGTCGTCGCAATCTTCCGAGAACTCGTGGAGCAATGGACCGCATAAGAAAACGCGCCTAAGCAACTTCCGCTGTCTGAGGATACGAAGGATGTGCTTAAAGTTAAGCCAGGGTTGAATGTACTTCTAAGTGATAGTGAGTCGTTATAAAGTAGTTAAACCAACATACAAGCGAAGTTGGTATTTCACTTCAGCAGCTTTTTTTTTCCTCTAATCAAAGTCGAAGAGGTTCGTCCAGTATTATCGCTGCTCTCTTCTGCACGACCGGAGAAACTAGAACGTGTGGCTTTCGTCTGCGACCCAGCATTGCCGCTTACTGTTTTCGTAATTTTTATTTTTTCGCTTCTATTTTGCTTTTGGTTAGCATATTAAGCCATGAGTGATAACAGTGTTGTCCTTGTTAGTTACTCATAACGTCAGTCTCTTTCCATCGTGTTGGAACCTAGTAGGTCCTCTTTTCCTACAAGCTGTCAGCTACATCTTTAACTCACACATATCACACGTCACTGCAGGAACTAGTGAAAATGCGCATCGGTCTAGGGCTTCCTGCGTTTGGTGCTCATCGTGGTGGAATCCTGGGATGTCGGGAGTGGCCTGCTAGTTGGCCCGCGGTCCGAAAATTTTGGCCTGACAGAAACAGCGTCACGGGGTTTGCAGTCTTCAAGTCCGACATTTCTTTCTCCGAATTTGGGGAGGACCCAAGTAACCACTGGAATAACCGAATGAGTAAGAAAGAACGGGCTTTCTTCGAACACTTGGCAACGTTCATACGCGAACAATGGCTAGGTGGTGGGGAACACGGTGTTGAACAAGTTTTGTAGAAGGAGGGGTAGCGGCTTGAAAAACTACAAATAAACCTACTTCTAATAGAAATTAAATGATTAAATAGTATACCTGATGCTCGGCTCCACCACAAATTGTATATACCTGATGCTGATACAGAAGCAAGAGTTTGACATATTTATATGTCTTCTTTGCTCGATGAGCAGATGAGGCCCCGTTGTTGTTCAGAGTAGAGTAAGCTTGAAAAATTACTCGATTATGAAGGGCAAGGCAGATCAACTCTTTTTTCCTTGTTCTTAGTGTAGGCAAAGATTTTTTCCAATACATCATAAGACGACAGTTTTTTTGGATTCTTGTGACAGGAATCTTATAACCACTAGCATGGTGCTACTGCTACAGAAAAAAGATGAATCACTTTTATTTCTCTTCCGCGTCCTCCCTTAATGCCTAAAACAGACACTGATAGCGTTTGATTCGTCCTCATATAGATTTTTGATTAGTGTTGTAGTCAGTAGTCTCATGATTGTCCTTTGATTCATTGCTATTGTACCCTTCGTACAGTATGTGTATGAGCATGCATGATTTGCGTGTCTTTTTTGTGATCATATACTTACATTTTTTTTAGGTAGTACATACAACTTAATTTCTCGTCCAGCTTTTGATACCCTTTTCGTCAGCTTTGTCTGATTCGTGTACTCCTGGTATTCACCCATAGTTTGTCAGCATCAAGCAGGCGTAGCAAGCAGGTTTTTTCACTATCAATCTTCACACCGCACACCATTAAGGAAGAAGTCAAAGTAGAAAAATGAATGTCGTTACCACGAAAGTGAGGCTGGATTCAAAATCGTCTTCATTTGGGTTACGACAGTGCAACCACAAAATGTATAATCTACTTACGACTGAATCTTCACAAAGCACCAGCACCTCCATCAGATATTCGATTTCGATGTGATGAAGAAGAAGAAGGAGGCTCACTCGATCAAGCATGATGCAACCGATCGCTAATACCGCGCAAACCTCGTTTCTTCTTGCAAACATGTTCATCAATCACTGTTTACCTTTAGATGAAGATCTTGGCATTGATCATAGACCTAAGAGTCATAGCTTTAGTTAGCTACTAGTACTGATTCGTCTTATTCTTGTAAGAGTAAGAATAGCGATTTCATAGTAATGAATCGAGCGTCGTCCTCGTCACGACCAACAACATACTGGTTGTGCTTATCTTACGCATCTCTATAAGAAATCTAAGACAAAGACCCACCAAAGAACCATTTTTTAACATAATCTTCAACCCGCTACAAATACATTATCACTCTCTCTCTCTTTCATTCACATAATTGCCGTAACTACTTTGTATAGCTACAGAATCATTGGTCTCATACTCATAGTCAAACAGCAGCATTGATTAACGTGGAAATCTCCTGTACAGAAGTTGATGGAGTTGTATCATTGATTAACACTTGGACTCATTGGGATTGGAGACCTGTTTTAACATATTATCAACTCCATGAAGATCATAGGAAAAACTGAAAACGAGAAGGGAATCTTGATCTTTCTTCAGAGACAAACTCTGAAAATGATCTGTGTGCTGATGTTAGTTCATGCTCATCCTCCAACATCTATTTCTATGTTCTACTTTAGTACATCTACATGAACACCCATCTTCTGTGTGTGATGCTGATGGCCATTTGATCTTGCAAAGAAACCGAAGAGGATCTCCTGAAGCGGACGAAAAAAGATCAGATTGAAACGATTCACGTTGTTCTTGCTGTTGTCATCTTCTAGTGTAGTACATCTACATAGAACTACTAGAAAGATCCAAAGATGACCACTGTGGGTGTGGTTCGTCGCACCGACGGTAACCACTTTTTGGAACCATCTCCATCAAAAGCATTGATCAGGAAAGATCAAAGCTCGAACTGATGATCCAAGGCACCATCGGAAATCGGATCCTCACTGGCGCCGTCTCGGGTATATGCCTGGTCGGCGCATCGTCCGTGAAATGTAAGACGTCTCTGCGCCCACCCCAGCTGGTGCGCTGGCCCTTTGGCCGAAGACTTTGGAATTGAAATTGAAACGTAGCACAAAGGAAAGATCTACGTATCAGCCTAGAGTAGTACTTTACAACTCGACTCTTATACTTATTGATTCCTTTTCCTTTCAGGTGAGATTGCCTTCAATCGTTTTCATTCTCTATGCATCTTCCTTTCAGGTGGCTTTTGATAGTCTTCTGGTTCTCATGACTATCGATGAAAGCACCGACATAGTGTCTACCTCTTGAAGACTTTACCACAGTTCACTTCATCTTCATCAGAAAGAATGGCTCCCCCAGCTGGAGACGACGCCGCGCGAAGTCGGCGGTGGGCGCATAACAGGCGAAGATGGGATAGGTTGCAGGAGAAGCACGGACACCAATACGACTCGAAGAAGAATATGGGCAAAACCGAATTTCTTGGAAGTTTAGCGAAGCATGAGAAATTCATCAGGAAAACAGAGAAAGGAGGAGGTTCGTCGTCTTCAGTAGCCAAAAAAGCCACTGGTAAGAGACAAGTGGTGAAGAAAACTTCTTCTATCAAAAAGTCAAGAACATCAAACAAGGCAACGAACGGTGACAAGAAGGACGAAGCACATCATGGCTTTCAGCAGGATGACGCTGAGGTGGGATTCGAGAAGACCTCCAAAAGAAAAGCCGCCAGAGCTAGCAAACAGCCCAAGCAATCGGCGTCTGAAAAGTTAGAAGCCTTAAAAGAACGAACTCGCGACCCACTCGCCGGTTTGCGCACGGTCAAGCAGGTAGGACAAGACGTGTCACGAAAAGACGTTCGAAAGAATCGCAAACGGTGGTTGCGCGAAATCGGAGTCGTGTCGACTGAAGACTTCAGCAAGCAGCCTTTACACACGCAAAAAGGTACCTTTGTCATGGAAGGCAGTCTGATGGACAGGATTCAGCGACAAGCAAGGGAGGAGGTGAAGATGAATACCAATCACTTGACGTGGAAGGATCGGGGAAATGGTGCAGATGGGGACAACGACCATCCTACGACGACTTCATCCACTCCAGCGAAGAGTCACTATCTCTCTCGCGCTGATCGCAGACTCTTGAAATCTGGCGCCGTCAGTTGGCACGAATACCGGCGAGGAAATCTCAGCGGCGGTGGTAATGCTGATGGTAGAGATACCACAGCTTCTTTTTCATCTTCTTGGAATAACGACTTCACAACGACTACGTCAGAGGTGTCTGCGCCAGCACGCATTGTTTATTCAGAATTGGTAAAGCAGAACGGTACGTCCAACAGCCTGGAGAAGATGGGCCAAACAGATCTCATCGACCGCTCGTTAGATCTGATTGGTATTCCTCAATCCTCACAACGTTGGTGGCAGGCAGACGGAATAGCAAAAGCGCATAAGAAACTGATCTACAGCTTCGCAGCTACGGAAACGACGGACTTGCTAGCGGGTGATGTTGAAAGGCGGACCAAAGTTTCACGAGACGAAGCGTCTGCAGACGAATGCGCAGCTTCTTCTACACAAGATACGGAGGAAGAGACTTCTTCAGCTGGTTCATCCTTGGAGAAAGAAGATGAAGACGAGGAAGTCGAAGAAGCAGATGTATACATGAGTGTCGATGGAGACGACAGAATGGACCACGTAGAGGAGGAGGAAGAAGAGGAAATGACAGACGAGGCATTAGCAGACTCAAAAGCTCTTAGATCAGACTCAAAAGCAGCTTCTTCGAAAAAAGCCGCAGCCGCAGAAGATCCAGACGGAGATATTGACCCAAAGCCAAGAGTAAACAGCGCGACCGCCAACAACAACGACTCGTCTGCTTTTCTACGACCTCTCTACCTACCGAATGTGATGGCCGCTGCAGTGGAATCCGGGATCGATCTGGTAGAGTTGTTGTCTGACGAGTCCAGCGACCGTTACCTAAGCCAACACGGAACAGAGGGCCAAAACACATACGAGACGAGGGTCGCACTTCAAGGTTTAGTTCGTGCTGCTCTTGGTTTCCCAGTGCCTTTGATGAAGGAGACAGACGAGTCCTTGGAGCCAGGTCTACGCACTGCCTTGCAGACCTGCTTTGCGTCAAGTCGTTGGCTGCCAAATGCCATTTCAGATGCGCAAGTAACTCAGCTTTTCGTTGCCATTTCCACAGCTAATGTGAGTAGAATAGTCAAAGTACCGTCCAAGAGTGACCATGATGCTTCCGGAACATCAAGTGAAGGCTCCATTGATATGGAGGAAGAGATAGCTCGAAGGGTCGAGACAGGTGCTAAAGAAATAGTTGCAGGAGCGGAGAGCGCACGCGCAGACACTTGCATCAATGAAGAGACACCAAACTCATCTAGTACTGCCAGCATTTCCTCTGAAAAGCTTCTCATCATTGGCCGAAGCTTGTTGCGTACTCTACTTGAAGCCTTAGATTGCAGCCTAGAGGGCCGTCCGATACGTGTGGTACGGCGAAGGCCTGATGGTTCTCACAAACTCGTTTTTTCGACTAAGAAGCATATACGTACGAGGATCCTCGCTTACAGACAATACCTTAACGAAGTCAAAGCTGCAGAGGAAAAGGTCGGGAAAGGTAAGAACAATTCGAAAAAAAGCAAGAGTGTTGCCCAAACAGCAAAGACTCCTTGTTTTTCGTCTCTTACCAAACGTCTTTCAGAACTAGCACACAGCGAAGACAATTCCGTGCCAGAAAGAACTATCCTTCTAGTTATGCAAGCTATAGTTGAGGAGGCTGCTGCCGAGCGGAAAAAGAAAGAAGAGGAGGAGGAAAATTACCTAAACGCTGGTGCTGCTGAAGATTCCTGGTCGACGAATTGGAAGCAGCATTCTAGTACGGGCTCATCATGGTGGAATTCAGAAGCCGCTGGGGAAAATGATGACTCGCCTGCACAACAAAATAGTTACCATGATTATAAGAACCACAAAGGCTCATCATCTTCATCGTCGAGCAAAGGTATGGGTAAAGGTAAGGGTAAGAAAGGGCCAGGGAAGGGAAGCTCATCTAAAGGAAAGGGATCGCAGGGTAAGGGATCCAAACCCTTGCGAGATCTTGAGGACCATGAATTGAAAAAAATCACATGGGCAATCCCTGAGGTGGGTGGGGATGATGAAAACTTCTTTGAATAAGCGACAATGCATCATGGACCCACTCCCATAGTTGGTAATTGAATTTGCCTCAAATTGTAGTTTCCCTTTTTCATCAAATAATCATCTCAGAAAATAATCGTCGAAATTACCGGGACCTTCGATGAGCGCCTATGTTCCTACTTAATAACTCAATATTTCCTCTGTATTCATCTGCGTCACAAGGTTTGTGTCTATCATGAGCGAGAGAAAGGATGTGTCCATATTTGATCAAGTAGAAAACTCACGCTTCTGTTTGGACATCATCTGTTAAAAAGGGGAAGAGACTTTCTGTCTGGATTACGTGAGACATATAATTAGGATTACCTGGGTATACTTAGATCAAAAGGATAGGAGGACCCTCAGGAGTTTTTCATGACCCAGCCCAGATTTCCTACACTAACTAACAATTTAACATCACCGGGCCCGACTCTTGTACGTTTACAACTTAGCCTCTGTGTTTTTTTTCATCTTCACTTCTTCATCATCCTGTTTGTAAAGAACGTCGATAAGGCGGTGAGAAAGATTTCCTGAACCTGAAAGGAATCTTGACCTTTCTTCAGAGAAGTGTCTTCATCAAGTTAAGTACTAGGAGTACGAGTCTCGCCTACCGAGTAAGTAGTTTTTCTACAACATCACTTCCACCAGCACCATTGCCTTCTCTCTTCTACTTCTTAGAAACGAAAATGTCCACCCCCAAAGACCCGAAAGCTCCGAAACCTCGTCCTGCGCCGGCTGTTGGTGTAATCGGCACCGGATGGGGCCTCCGCACACACGTGCCAGCCTTTCGCGAGGCTGGGATGCAAGTGTCCGCGTTGTTCTCTCGCAATGCTGAAAAAGCTGCCAAACTCTGTGAAGAAAATGAGATCCCCTTACCAGTTTCCGGCACCGACATTGACCGAATGCTGGTTTCATCCGAGGACGGGGGTCCACCAGGATCGGATAATTTCTTGGTCTCCGTAGTCGGTCCAGTCCACCGAAGAGCAGGTCCAGTGGCGAAGGCATTGAAAGCCGATAAGCACGTTTTGTGCAGTGTCCCAATGGCGCCGAACCAGGAAGAGGCGAAAGAAGTGCAAAAGCGTGGGCAAGCAGCCCAATCGGGCAATTCCAAATTGCTTGTTCTATGCTGTTTTCAACTCCGTTGTTGTCCGCCATTACGTGACGTGCGAGACTTGATCGTGAACAATTTGTTAGGCGTTGCGAACATCAGTGTAGTGTTCGAATCTCGAAGAAATTGGTCTTTCATGCAAGAGGGTGTAGACGCTAGTTGGTGGAACTACAGACAAGCAGGTGGAGGTGTCTTTTCCGCTGTCGGAATCCACTTTGTCGACTTGATCCGGTTTCTCTTTGGTGACGAAATACAATGGGTGTCAGCACTACAACGACCCATGCGCGGTTTGAAGGTGCCACCAAAAGCGGACACGCCTTCGGCGGAGGGGCTTTGCATGGCGAACTTTATCACTGCGAGAAAGAACATACCGATCCAGATGCACTTGAATGGGGTCAATATTATGGAAATGAAAACAAGAATGAGAAGGATAAGGTTCTTTGAAGAATTTGTAATTATGTGCGACTTGAGATAAAGTAAGTAGTCATCTCGTTCATCACGCTGTAAAATCAAAATCTTCACGACTCTCATTAACTTTATAACATAGTACCCTCTTGTCCCAAGAATGTTCCAGATTACCAAACATAGTGATTACCACCTCTAATTCCTTCGGCCTCGACGAGGAGGAAACCATGGTCATCACATCGCCCAGAGCCAGCATTTTCTTCGATTTCATGACTTCCGAGTTGAAGATCAATACATTGGAGAAGCAAGGCACTCCGGTGGACCCGAAACCGAGTATTGTCCGCGTTACTTAAGGCTGCAAGTTTCAATTATCTGCCCTAGGATCTTTTTGTTTCCGTTTTTACAGGAAAAACAAGGACCGAGGAGTAGATGAAACTCAAGAGAGATATACTTATCTATATGGTTGTACTTCTAAGGTGCACGTGACACCCCAGCCTCTGGGTGCGCATGGTCGGTGACAGGGATGCAGAATTTGACAAAGAGGATTTGGTCTCACTTCGAGGAGTGTGAGTCCGTCCACGATTTAGCCACCATGATGGACGGTCTACAGGCACAAAGGGTGGCGGATGCGGTCAACAAAAGCGGAGCAAATAATGGCGAATGGGTGGAGATTGCGTGAGGAATAATTTGGATTTGCATTTGGCATGAGCATGATATGGTGCCATATCGTTACTACCAAGTAGACATCACTCAAATAGAATTCAAGGATTAGGATGACCTTGACGACATCGACATCAATCTCCGATGATACGATTTTCTCAACATCAAGAAGATTTTCAACCTGAGGTTTTTCCTCGTCTTTGAAACTTCTATAAATATGTTTTCCTTCCTCCTGGTCTATTAACTGTAAGTTCAGCAGTCACGACTGACCATAGACAATACGAACTTTTGGTTTGTGTGGACTTTTCACCTTCACTATGTCTGTTCCCTTCTCCTTGAGTGTTTGGACAGACGGACAACGAATCGGTTTCTCTTGTCTTCATGGTATGATACAAGAACTACAAGTCGGTTAAGTATCGAAGAAGATAATATGAGCGAGGAGAAGACCGAAAATGAGAATTTGGTACAACGAACTTGGTAGGAGCACTAGCTACTATACGAGTAGCCGTAGCGATAGCACACAAAAACTTTTTTTTTCAAGAATATCAAAGAATATGATCATGACCATGACGCCGTCAATGTTGTTGCTTATGACTGTGCTCCTTACAGGAGGAGCCTACAATGCTATGTGTGAGGCTGCAATTGGTGACGGATTGAGAAATCATTTTGTCGTGCCAAGAGGCGCTCCAGTCGACGATAAAGATGACACTTCTAGTGTCAAATCTGGAGGGGGAGATGTAGGGGATGAACGAGGGTTGCCTGGTCGCGTTCCTTCTATCGGTATCGGGAACGATCCACATCTACCCCCAGTGCGCGACACCCGTCGAATCCAGGCTTTACGTTTCTCTTTAGCGCCTGATAAGCGGAGAGCTGCTCTGCATGACGCAGACACTGATTCCGATGGTGGACCAGGTCGTGGTAAAGATGAAGACGAGGAAGAAATTGGGGGTTTTGTACAAGAGCCGCTGGTTTCTGTTCAACAGCAACAGAAGAGTTTTCGGCAACCTCAAATCTACTCCATCGCTTCTTCTGACTCGGACACACCCCTTTCGTCCGCTCACTCTTCATCTCGTTCCTCACCACGTGGTGAAACGAGAGGCCAACAAGATGCGCGACGAAGACGGTTTGTGCAGAATGCAGATGATGCCAGAACATCAAACAAACGAGCAGCTACGAATGTACTTTCCTCCACCTCACGCAGTACAACTAGCATGAGTAAACGAGCAAAGCTGGCGAAGTATCTTCTTGGTGTCAAGAAACAACAAGACGAGTTAAAGGGGACTAGACTGGACAAGATCATTCAGAAAATACACGATTACGTACATCATGGCATAATCGGCGGAACTTCATCATCTCCGTATAATTCGTATTCGTTCTTCACAACTTCTTCTTCTACTTCAAAAATAACGTCAACAGAAGGAGCCGAAAAAATGTGGTCCGACCGCTCACTCCGTGATGAAGCACTCAATTTGATGCGAGCACTTAGACCTGCTCTGGTCGCGGACAATTGGGCCAGTCGTCTACCTGATTACGCAGGCCTTCTCAGCTTGGACCGCATTGAGAGCATCGTTGAATTTTTCACTTTCGTTGTGGCGAATGAGCCAATCCACTGCCGCAGAGTCTCGGAGCTTTTGCGGAGGCTTTTTCAAGAAAGGGGTAGCCGAGACGAAGTAGACCAACCTGAAGGCGAAGTAGTTGGCAAGAATATACAAACGAATACGTCGAAGCTTCCTCTTCCAAAGATGCTAGGTGAAACGTACGAAGAAGCCGAAAAAAGTAGAAAACTTCGCGAGGCTGAGGAGGAAGCGAGATTGAAGAAGCTGCAGGCGCAAGGAGGTGAACAGCGTGAAGTTGCTCCTATATCATCAACACCTGAAGCGACCTATCGTTTGGTCCTTTCACATGGAATTCCAGGGAATAAGGACGACCTTGAGAAGATTCGAAACTCCGGCTCTCCCTCTCGTCTCCCTAGAGCCGCTGCTAGCCAGTTAAATGCTTCTGCTCCTCAAGAATTTGAACATTTCGCCATCGGGACACCGGCAAGCGCAGCATCATCGTCAATGAATGCTAAGAGAAAGTTTTCGATCATGTACTATATCCTTGATAGTCTATCACCCGTCTTCTTGCGCTTCTTTTTCGAGAAGGTACAGGTTGGCTGGACGACCTCAAATCCATATGGAGCACGAGGTAACATGACATGACATGCACTCATGGCGTTTCTGTAAAATTCATCACTGTACCTCAAGTATCTAGATCTCCTTCTACCCCGCCTACATCACTTTCATTTAGGAAATGCACCTCTATCCAAAGGACTCGACACCTCTTCTAAACCCAAGGAAGACTGCTCAACTCCGACTTCAAGAAACAATCGTCGTCTGAAGAGGCATATCGAGAAGATGGAAAATGACTACGTCGAAGGCAGAGCTCGTCCGAGAAGCACGTCATCCAGTTCCTTGTTTTCAACTTCATCCTCCGAGGACATTGCCTTGGGAGTGGAAGCAAATGAAGAAGGCGTGAGCAGACGCGACATTGTGCATGGAAAAACTCGGCTTGCTTTGGGGGAAGAGTTAAGGCGCTAGCTACTGAACGACCTGATGATTGGTCGATGTGCTGGGAATACAGAAGAACCATCAAGTAGAAGATCTAAGAGGGACTTTTCAACATCTACATCATGATCATGATCTTGATCATCATTTGATGAATAATATTATGGACTTGATATTGATTGTTACTTGGTCTTGGTACACTAGGACTAGCGCTTCTTCTTCTTCTTCTTCTTCTTGTTCTAAGTTATGCCCCATCTTCTGCAGCACCAGCAGCACACGAGCAGTCCGATCTATCCTCGTCCCCTCTTATGCGCCAACAAGAGCAGACGTTTTTGCTGATTTGGAGTCGACAACGCCGCTTAGTCGTGTGGCGAAATATCGCAAAAATATGGCGCGACTCTTCGATACGTTCCCGACGCGTCCAACAAGTCGATAGGAGCGGAGCAGAACCACGTATTCTGCGATTTCTCTCAGAAGTCGCTTATTATTAAGGCTCAGCTTTCTTCAATGGTCATCATTTAGATTGGAGTCACTGAGATCGAAGAAGCGACCCCTTTGGAGAACAGGGGAAAAGGAAGGGAAAGGAGAGAGCTTTGAAGGGGGCCTCTTCCGTTCAGCATCAGTGACCATTGAGTGCTGAGCTTTAATATTACTTTACAAAGGGCTCTACATCTGACGACGAGCAAGCGTGGAAGACCTTTGCGACAGACTTGGTAGGCGCAGAGGAGCTTGAGTGTGCGCGATGTGGACATCCTGTAGGAGGTCTTCGCAAGAGGGAGGGAGAGGCAGTGTCGTGTGGGGCGTTGAATAAAGGTACGGCTTAATGATCAAGATGATTTATCTGACAGCGACAGGGACACCGACAGCCATAGCCATGGTCTGTCTAAACTGATATTTGCCTACCGTAGGCCTAGTTGTCTCAGAGAACTACAGGATGTAGATCTAGTTGCACACCTCAGTAGAGCTGGTGCTGCCCTGCTTCCCCATGCACTCTTACTTCTAACCTAGCAGGAAATTATGGTGGAAAAGGCGTCCCAGAAATCGATCGAAGCCGCCTTGCTGAGGACCTTAAGCACGCACACAACCTTGGAGAAGCTGCTGTCGATGCTAGAAGGATGGAGGAAAGCGAGAGCTCTGAAGCTGGTTCTGAGGGTGGACAAGCAGCATTTTCATCTTCTTCCTCTCATTAAGGCTCAGCTTTCATTGGTCATTGTCATTGAGGTTGGTCACTGACACCGAAGACGAGACCCCCTGAGAGAACAGGGGAAAGTGAAGGGAAAGGGGAGAGCTTTGAAGACGGTCTTTCCCGTTCAGCCTCAGCGACCAATGAGTGTCGACCTTTAATCTCAGCAACAGCAGATGGAGATGCCAAAGAACGCGAATATTACCACAACACCCAATAACAATTCACATCAGCGTCAGCCTTCTCCCTCTTATGTTTTTCTCGCTCCTGGTGGACCTCTCACATCCTCTCCCGCGATGATGGCGGTTGCCCAGTCCGCAGCACGTCGTGGAGCAGCACGTGCGCCAGATCTTCAGACTATGAATGGAACTAGTAGTGGTAATCCTCCTGGTGGCGGTGGTGTCGCATTTGGTGGCGGTGCTACTACAACAGGTGTAGTGCCTCCTGTCACTACTACAACCTTGGCAATCCCTGGATCGCAACGTCCGCCCGCACAACCTGCACCAGCTCCGAAAGTAGGACTCTGGCAGTCGTTGTTTGGTTGGGGAGGGGCTAACAGAACCACAACATCAACTTCTACTGGTACTGGATCAAGTATTAAGGGTAGGTTAAAGGTGTTCTTGTTACCGATCGTTTTGTCTTCCTGAAGGAGGTGGAAAGGCATAACGAACGGGGTAAACGAACACCAAAAACCCACCTCTAAAAGTAGCCAACAGAAGTATATGTCAACTCCATCACATCATCACGTCGCAGGAGGAGCTCATCCCGGTCTAGTAACGTCTCAAGGCGCTCACTTTCATCCAAGAGATGTAGTCGACGTTGATGCAGCATATCGGAACCAACAACATCTATATCATGATGACTTTCTCAACGTGAACAGCAACAGCTACAACCATCATCCAGGAAATGGGATAATGTTGGACCCTCTGCCAGGTGCTGGTATGCTGCACAGGCACGGATCACTCCTGCCAAGCGACTACCTACATAGCTCAGGGTCTGGCTTCAACGGTTCAATGCTGGTACCAAGGCTGGATACTGAGGGGATGATGTATTGAGTCGACTACTACCAGTAGTAGATCTAGCTGTCGCTTTTCTACTTCGGAGTAGAAAAACTGGTGATCAATATGCGTTTCCATATCCTTACTCCAGCACAACATCTACGATGAACGATCTGTAGCAAGTTTCCAAAGCCTCCAATTGCATAACACAATACCTCAGCCACCGACATAAACTACAAGTGACACACATCGACTTCGACATGCCACACTGTCATGGTGTACCTGTACGCGTTGATGTTACCTCTCCTATAATCCTACGACCAGCAGCCCCGTTCGCGAAACCACCTGACGTTAGTACCATCATCCTTTTCTACAACGCGGAAGTACGAAGAAGAAATTTTTTGTTGAAGCTTTACATCGTGCACCTATACCGACGTGGCATCGGTAATCTCATTTAAAAATTCGAATCGAACATTCAGATGCGAAGACGAGACCCATTGTAGTACGCTTAGTATCAACATACTTACAGGAGCTATATCAATTGATTGCGTTCTTGTTTTGTGAGATTATTCTCGAGACCAACAAGCACCATGACAGGACACAAACTAACATTTTTTCTGTTGTCTGCAAAACTCAAAGACATACCGCATAGTCATATCAAATCCAACAGCGTTCTTGTTGTGCTCGAGGAAGAACATGTTGTCCTGAACCTGTAGTTCGTCTTCTACTTCTGGCGTAGCCAAACAGATGAGGTCAACCGAACGTTCCATGTTGTAAACGTGGACGGTGATTAGCATGAAACTGTGCTGACTGAGAGAGAGAGAGACGCACTTGTTGTAGGTTTCGGTTGGAGACACCACAGAGAAGAGAGAGACAAGTCCTTGTTTGGTACAGAGAGGTAACGAGCGTGTTGTAAGAGTCTGTCGTGTGTCAGATGATCACGGCTGTCATTCCTTGGAACGATTACTCAGCACGCAGTTGTTCCAAATGCAGGTTCTTAGAGGGGTTAGCGTTAGTTCTAGTTAGAGACGCTTCTATATAATTCAGACTACCAATCAACATTCAGGACGTGGTTCTACTTGGAACTAGAAGGATCCAATTGGGATTTCACTTTGATTTGTGATCGAGCTAGAGATTACGCATCATTCAATACTTGTGAGTCCTTTATTGTTCCGTGGATTGAAAAATTCCCATGTTTTTGCGCATTAGTCCTTCTTCGTGCTCCTACAATCATTTCCTCGAGAAGGTGGAGTAGAGCTCGCCCTTCACTTGGACTGTCGTTCTTCCCATCTTCTCGCTTCATCTACTGCTGCAAGCACTCGTGCGTGGTTCACTCTACTCCTAAAAGAAAACGGCACGACACGACGACTATCAACATTATTGACTGCTTGGGACCAGCGACAACATCAGCACATCGGAAAGCATGAATGAAGCGCCGGACAGGTGGTAATACTGACGAAGGTCAACTTGACTCGCGTCAACTTTGCGACGCGGGCAAGATGATCCAACTGGTAGGCAAGTCGATGAAAGGCGGGTCGGCGCCGTCGAGTAGTAAAGCCTATGACATTGACAGTGCGATAGGAGAAAGGGAGGATACTGAACTTGTCAATGCAGGAGCTTTTGATGACGATGACGATGATGACACCAGCAACATAATTAAGCCTAGCGCTATGGCATCCTCAAGCTCAACTACATCCTTGGCTCTTGGTCGTGTTCTACTCTATTACAATAGAAGACGCCAAGGATGCTCTCAAGGATGCCAACGCGGTAGAACCTCTAACCTAGAGGGCGGGGGAAGCAGGACTGACGCAGACTCTGCTTCAACAGAACCACCACCTCCGAGCGTAGCAGCGATCGTAGGGTGTATGATGCTCAATTTTTGGAGTGCGGTCGGGATTATATGGGTCAACAAATGGATCATGAATCATGGGTGGACATGGGCTTCAATATTAACGTGGATGCACTTCGTTGCGAGCTTTATAGGATTGGAGATATCATGGAGGTATCTATTCGTTGTGAAAATAAACTGGACATTGCTCTTAATATCCTCTTACAACAAAGATGAACCTCCTTTCTCTGAAATCTGATTTAGAGTGTGCTCCTCCACTAGGACTGATGTCCTCAAAAATGATCCTTTCAGAACACAACTACCACTCATCAGAACACTTGGCTTATTCGAGCCAAAGGAGACCAAACTGATGAAGGTGGTCCCTCTCTGTGCGTCCTTCATCGCTTTCGTTGTTTTTAACAACCTGTCATTGCAGTACAACACAGTGGGGATATATCAGCTACTGAAAGTGCTGATGACCCCTGTAGTAGTGGTACTCCAATTTTGCATGCATGGGACATTGCTCACGTTCTGGCAGACCGTTTCGCTGATTCCGATTTGCGTTGGAGTGTCTTTGGCAACGGTTTCATTTATGAAGATGCGAAAGTCAGCTTCTTTGACTTAACAGTCCTAATCAATAGTAATTTCTGTGTCTCATTTATGATGCGAAAGTAAATACGACGAGTTCCACCTGTAAAGTCAAATTCTTCGTGATCGTGATCATATTTCGTATCGGTTCATGCTTCCTCCTCGTTCTCGTCCTTGTCACAGCACATGCCCCTTTCATACTACCTCTTGAAGTGAACGGTTTGACTGGAGTCTTTTTCGGCGTGATGGGCATATTCTCCACGAGCCTCTATCAGATCTGGGTCAAATCAAAACAGTCGGATTTGCAGCTGAACCCCTTCCAGCTGTTGCACCATCAAAGTTTCCTTTCGATGTGGATGCTGGCGCCTCTAGCTTTTTATGTGGATAGGTCACTTCTCTTCTGCCTCCAGGACTATGCTATGAGCACACTTGGAGACCCAGTCTGCGCGGACAAAGTCATACGGCCACTCTGTATTTCTTCTACTTTGGGTAACTTCTGATAGGCGTTACAACACGTTTACGTTGTACAAAATCGATGTGTAAATTATACTCACCTCAATATTATTAACATCTTGGTAGTTATTCTCATCGGTAATCTTCAAACAGCAAATTCTTCCTCTCCTCCGACCTTTGTCGTTTACAAACGAATCTTGCAATCTCTCTACCTACCAGCCGATCCCTTTTTCCTTGCCGGTGTCGGAACGAGCTGTTGTCTTGCATACCTGGTGAACCTGAGTACTTTCCTAGTCATCGGCAAGACGAGTCCGGTCAGCTATCAAGTACTCGGCCACTCAAAACTCTTCGTGATCATGCTCTCAGCGTTCCTGATGTTTGGAGACATACCTTCCCCACAAAACATCGGTGGTTGCGTCATGGCATTGCTGGGCATCTTCTGGTACACGTACCTCAAAATGTAGTAGACGAAAACGTGCAGGAGAGGAGCGGGAGTAGTAAAAACACATAGTTCCTCAACTATGACAGCAGCAGCAGCACTGTGAAAAAAACGATAAGCGTCATCTCCATCACCATGCCGTTACTGGAGAAGAGCTTTGCTGTAAAAGGCGAAGCATAGACAATAGACGAAAATTTTCTGTAGAAGCAGGTAATTATACTAATATTTATACATAATGTTCTTGGTCGTGGATGTGAACAGCGGGAACGACATGATACCTTTGTACTTCCAATTCTAGAAAGATTGATTTGATGTCATTCGCCTTCAAGCAGATAGTACTTGCACTTTTTCGTCATTTTCATTCTAACGATTACAGCTCGCTAAAACAGTCTTCGCTTCTCAACATTGTCTTGCCCGCGGGCATGTCACGAATAGGTAGAAACTCTCTTACTAGAACTACAACTTTGTCCTTACCACGTAAGTACATATAATTTCAACTTCAACAACATGTGAATTTCAAATTCAAACTTCCGTGTGATCGACACGACAGTAGTATCTGTACCATGGAGATGGACAATGACCGTCCTTCTGGCTTCGCCAGCGATATGAAGTCCACTTGCTGATATGAGTTCCATAGTGTTATACTGAAAATGCGGCACAGAACTCGTTCTTTCCTCGAGCTCTGCGAAACGAATCTGTTTTGCATGTATGCTACAAATCCGTGATTGAATATTGGAGATTTAGGAAGAAGGATTGAGTTTCTCGAGACTACGATTTATTTTTAACTTCCGAAGGTACAACTCCTTTCATCTGTTTCTTTGCTTTTTCACCTAGTACGAGTACGAGATATGATTTAACTCCCACGACCTCGACTTCGTCAAGTGGAACGACGAGCCTCAAAATGACAACGTCAAATCCCCGCCGTCCTTTCGTCCTCGGCGCAAGTAGAAGCATGTACTTCTTCACTCTACTGAGTAGACAACTTCTTGTGTGGAACCTTCTTTGTTCGACGACTTCTTACGCTATCCAGTTTCCAGACTTCTCAGCCAAAGACGCTTGCGATGACCGACTGGTTGATCCTTCGTCGCTGGGACCGATCGCACCCTACATCGATATTGGCTTTTTCACCGATTACAAGCTGCAGAGTTGGATGTACTACTATTATGAACAGGGAGAAATGATTCAGACGCTCATAGCTACATAAAAGGTGCCATGACATGACATGACACGACTTGATCTGCAAAGCTCCTGGATGTACTACTTACTATTATGAAGGAAAATACCAGGTGGATGATATTAATGGCTGTGAATCTTTATTGTTGTCGTATTGTAGTACTAGGTAGTGCCATGTGGACATGAGGGAAAAGCATAGTGTTTGATACTACGGATTGTTCGCCTAATGCTAACCGACCATCTAGTAATCAGAGCTCTATCAAAGGTCCTCTAACATCCCAAGAGGACCACAACGATTTCGTTTCTGTGGTTGAACACGATCGCGTTCGCGAACCGAGAGTATATCCTCAACGTGTGCCCAGAAGCCTACCTTTTGACTCTGATTTTGAGGACTGAGGAACGCCTTCCTCTCATGGAGGTTGGTGAATCCCTAATGGATTTTGCGTTTTTGTTGATGTTATGGCTGGTGTGTGAAAGATAATGCAATCGTTTATATAATATTGCCCCTCTGTGGTCTTGCTTTCTTTGTAAATTCAGATACAGCCGCAGACAATTGAAGTTATGTATTTCGTCATACTGCTTCAGCTTCTAGCATTACTAGATCAGCCGGAGCCGGCCCTTCTAACTCGAACCTTATCCTCCTCTCCTGGTGCTCTAGCCGGCGCCGATAACCATGCGGCCGCAAAAGAACAACAAGCTGCTCTGAAGATCGATTTTCATACAACCGATTGGCCAATCCAGCTAGGCCTCGAACGGGTCCACAAAATGAACAGAGAACTTTACCACATAGTGAAAACACAAGTCCCCTCAGTTGGGCTTGTCATTCCCTACTGTGGGGAAGACTTGTCGTTGTTGTTGGCTAGCGTTGCTGGAGAGAGAATTGATGAGACAGAAGAGAAATTGAGGAACGCAAAAAATGCGAAGAAGCTTGGTGAAGCGGACAAGACTACTTGGACGTCGCTTTTCTCGGGTCCCAAAACTGGGATTCCTACTGGACATGTGACGCTTTATTTGTACAAGCCGGCGCAAACGAAACGGACATCTTCATCCTCTACAGGACCAATTGACGGGGACGAAGTAGAGCAGGTGGTCACGAAGGAAAATGTGGCTGTTGAGCACGATGGCCTTGAGGAGAAACAACGTTATCTGGTTGGGGAAGATGCGGAATGGCACTGTCCGTCGGAAACTAGGCCTCCAAGATTATGACGAAGTGCCAAGGAAGATGCTCCTAATCTCAATCTGTAAGTTTAACATGATCATCTACGCCACTCGCCACAAAAGATTATAGACTAAGTGTAAGTAGTAGTCCTCCTTTAATATTCAAGATCAAGAGAAAGGATCTTCTCCTCGTCGAAAGCCGCACATCATGAGTTTCTAACTCCTCACGTCCTGGACAAATACTTTCGCAGAGTGATTGTCATCGACGATATCGATACACGTCCTCACGAATGGGAGGTTAAGCGTTATTTTGAGCATGTTGCAAGGAATTACGACAATTTAGACGATTTCACGATTTTCGGACACCCAGACATCCTAGAACATGTCCACTTTCGGTCTCTCCGTAACCTGTTACAGGCATTGATGCTGGGGAATGTGCCTGTTGTCGCTGGAGGTGATGGAAAAGGAGAGGCGGATCATGAGAGGGGTAACAAGAAAACGGGTTCGATGATAGAAGACCATAGAATGCCATGGGAAGTGGACTACGCAGTTGAAAGAGGAGACCCTTCTCAGAACCAAGACGTTTTCTCATTATCCCGCCAGCCAGAAGCTGACTCAGATGCCTCCTGGGCAGGGTACCTGACTTTGTCCCACCACTATATCCACGGGTTTGAACGGCTGAATGCTAAGAGGGATAGCGAATGCAGTAGTACTGCATCTTCAGCAACAGCAACAGAAGACACACGAGCAGAAACGAGAACAGGAGAAGCGACGAGCGCATTAGCAGATTATCGAAACCTTTTGGTTGATTTGGGCTTTCAGCTGGATAAGTTGTCCCCAACTGTGAAAGCGATTAACAAGCGACTTCACACGACCTACACTGCGCCACCTGAATTTTTGCAGTTTGAGAATTCAAATTTCCAGACGAAAAATCCTGCGGATCCAGTAGGAAATAAGACGAGCAGCCAGATGTTGAAATCTAATGATTCTTCAGTTTTAGATGCAAATCATAAACAATCTAAAGAAGAAGATGTAGTCCCCTTAAATTTCTATTGTTGTAGCCAATTTCTAATACACAAGAGCAGACTACATCGGTATCCAAAGTGGTGGTATGAAAAGGTTTCTAATAAACGACCTCAAACCAATAGGAATACTTCTTCCACAAGCACTACTTCTATCCAGTGGAACCATTGTCTAACTTCTTACATGGAAGTGATATGGCCAATGTTGTTTGGGACTCCTAGAGACTTCCTAAAACGGCAAGATCGCGAAGAGTTGCCCTTGTATCTTCGCGTTGACAACTTCATGGAACACAATACGCAAAAAGTAGTTTGATGAAGAACTTTGAAGTAGTTGTAGTTCTATTAACTTTTGCAGCTTCAAGCTCACTGCGATTCCCCATTCCTTATTCGTGATAACTGCCGCAGAGGCCGATTCTTTCCAAAATGATGACGCCAGGGCTCGGGAAGGGAGTATGGCCATTTTGCACAAAGAGTCGGGTCTGTGACAGTTCTTTTGAGAGAGAGAAAAAAACAACGCTGAGGACAGAGTGTTGGTAAAGAGCACCAAACACAACAGCAAACTGAACCTGAGTGAAATGCTGTGTCTGTGAAATACTTGCTTTCTCTGCGCCCACCCCAGCTGGTGCGTCGAATAATCGAAAAGCTTGCCATTCCAATTGCAATCGCAATTGCGTATCTGCAAAAAATAGAGACGATCTTCACCTGAAAACTACAAGTCAATACAGACAACAGAAACCAAAATTTAAAGCCTCGTCCTCTTGGATACGTATACATAAAGCTCACGACGTTGACGTAGGAAAACTCAAGCTCATTGAAAAATACACAGTTTCATCAATTATCTCCTTGTTTCTTCTGAGTACTTGAATTTCATACACCAGTAGTAAAGCAAATGTTTTCTTCCTCAACGCCACCGAAGATGGATAACCTGGACGATGCGGACCAGAAACCGAAGAAGGCTCTCGTTAGTGCTACCCATTTTTGGGCAGAGTTTTGGGGGACCTATCTAGTCGTGCTGACCATCGGCTGCAATGTGCTTGGTGGGAGTGGGGATTGGGCGGTTCTCTCAATCGGCTTCGCACTGATTCTCGCCACATACGTCTTCGGTCCGATTTCTGGGGGCCATTTCAACCCTTGCGTGTCTGTTGCCGTGTTTCTAGCGGGAAAATTCGACGGGGAGCCCATACACTTGCTATACTATGTGGTACTGAAGAAAGGCTTACTTTCTGTGCATCTCCTTCTGCAAATCCAAGCAACTACCGTTTAATTATGTTATAATGGATTCTACATTCTCATTCAAAACCAACGACGAAAAACACCCACGATTCTCTCCTCTTCCATGCTCTCAATCACAGGGAGCTCAATTCCTGGGTGGTTTTACTGGCGCTATCACATACTATGGCATGTATGGGCAAACCTTTGAGCTTGGCGCTGGCTCAGGATACACCCTCTGGAACGCAGGTTCCGTTGAATTCCTATTCACTTGTTTGCTGTTAAGATGAAGAGACTCAAACTGTCTGCTATGTATTTGATGATTTTTGTATAATGTACTCCTACTCCACCTTCGTGCTTCATATTACCTGCGAGGTAGATGTAGGTACCTCCTCCACTGCTTGTATCTGAAGCCTTCTAATCGCCTGCCTCGTGCACTTGAGCGTCTCCCTCTCCTAAAGACCCCCTCTAATCCCTTGTCTCGTGCACTTAAACGTCTGCTACGCGAAGATGACGCTCGAGAAGGACAACCAATATTTTGGTATGGCCCTAGGGTTCGTACTAATCGCGGGTGCTTATGCAGTTGGCGCAATCAGTGGTGGTTGCTTCAATCCCGCTGTCAGTCTGGCAATTGATTTCGTGTCGTTGTTTCAAGGTATCTTTTTAGTTCATCCGATTGACTTCGTGTCGTTGTTTCAAGGTATCTTTTTAGTTCATCCGATTGGCTTCGTGTCGTTGTTTCAAGGTATCTTTTTAGTTCATCCGATTGACTTCGTGTCGTTGTTTCAAGGTATCTTTTTATTTCATCCGATTGACTTCGTGTCGTTGTTTCAAGGTATCTTCCTTTTTAGTTCATCCGATTGGCTTCGTAATATGATTGCTCAGAAGTTGCTTTCACTTTCCATTAAGCCATCTACTTTTCTTTCCGGATCATGCCACCAGATATCGTCACCGGTGCAGGCTTGTCTGGTTTCAATTCCGGCGTGACGAATTGTTTCGTATACCTTGGCTTCCAAGTCTTTGGCGCACTGCTAGCTGTCTTCCTCTTCATATGCCTCAGGGCTCCGGAAGACTATCACAAGTCAGAGGAAGGTAGAACAAGAGCCCTGTGGAAACACATGGATCCGATTTATGTCGAAGCTCTTCTTCAACATCTATTAGTATTATATAGTAAGTAAACCTATCTTCAACATGTATTAGTATTATTATAGTAAGTTGTAAAAAACCTATGTATACCTATCTTCAACAACATGATTTTGATTATTAGTATAGTAAGTAAACCTAAACGTCGAAACCTTCTGCATGCATATTATGATTATTCTCACTTTCAGCCTCACGACAACGACAACAACTCTCCTATCGCTATCTTCTAACCCTCTCTCGAGCCTCTCCACGGCTCCGTCCGACCGTTTTTTGCCGAATTTGTAGGTTGCATCTTCCTCACAGCGACGTTCGGCTTCGCGAGGATCTCCAGCTCACCTGCACTTGCGCTCAGTACCGGATCCTGCCAGGCTGCGCTCGTCTACGCCCTTGCTAAGGCTAGTGCTCCATTATCTCGTGATGGTGTTGTCGTAGAGTATTACAATAGGTTTATTACAACCTCTAGTTTCTGTTTCTCCATTTTTAGCAGGATACTCGTTCTGAGTAAACTCTCCCTGGTCCCAAATGGGAGGTGGATTTATCATTTATGCAGGGGGCTCTCAGCATTTCACTCAACCACGGTGGATAATGGAAAACTACTGCTAATTTAGGAAACATTAGCGGAGGACACTTCAACCCAGTCGTTTCGTGCTCTGTCTTTCTGTGTGGGAGAGACAAGCTAAAGCCCATGGTCTTTTTCTTCCACGTAATTGCACAGGGAATGGGAGCCTTTCTGGGAGCATTGGCGTACCTATGTGATTTCGTTCTGATTTTCACGATCTTCTACTAATATTTAATACCAATGCGTACTACACGACCGCAATTCTGTAACTGTAGACCACAACTTATCCAGTGATACTTTTATCCACAGTCAGATGTCATATTACACGTTATTTGCCCAGCACATCAAGGTCAATTACTGGGTAGAATTCATCCACGCAAGAAAAACGTACACCTGCAAGGTTCTTCGGTTTCAGTGGAGGGCGCACATTTGCAACTGGTCCTCCAGCCAATTCTGACTGGCTTCAACTAGGTGCCGCTGAAATCGTTTTCAGCTCTCTCGTAGGCCTCGTATTCATCGTAGTAGCGACGACGACACGAGAACAAGGAGACGTCCCACAATTTGCACCACTTGTTATGGCTAGTATGATATTGCTAGGCTGCTTCTGCTAGTTATGTTGCTGATTCTTTTAGAGAGAGAGAAGAAAAGAAAAAAACAAAAAGGAAAACTGATACTCGCTTCGCGTTAATATTACTAGGCTGCTATTAATAAAAATTTAAAATTATATTGCTGATTCTGTTGGTGTTACATAGTCATAGTCGTGCATTTACTAGATTTGAGTTTATCCGTTATTGGTATTGCGAAAGCCTAGTGCACGTATCCATTACGTTGGTATTCGTCTGCTCTAATCCTCTATTCGGGGGATCGATCATCGTGGCGCTCTTCTCTGCTGGGAAACTCGGACTGGTTCTTAGAATGATATCACAATCTAAAGATTTACTATTTTGTAGTATTATTGCCACATCGGGTTTAGATTTACTCCCTGTCCCTACTAACTTTTAAATTTGATTCATTGCTTTTCAGAAGAAAGAGGAACTCATTCGCAACTGAAATAAAGACCACCAGCACCAGCACGACTATCACTATCATGCAGCGTCTGCTTCTCCGATTTCCTCTCTTACGCCTCTTCTCCACCTCAACAGATAGTAAACCCAGCCATCGCATTCGGTGCTTGCATGGTCCGCGCGATGGACCAGGCCACTGGAAAGGCGCTGGTCGATTTCTTCCTGCATGCAATATGTTCGACTATTGTTATGGCATCTCTTCTTTGCGTTTCTGCGGTGTGACTTCGGTGTGGTCAAGGGGACGACAAACACTGGTGATACACCGAGGACGAGAATGATAACTAATCACTTATCGTACAGTTGCTACAGAGCATTAGAATGCATAAATGGAGAAACTGCAACAGTTGTAGAGAAAAAGAAACACCTTCACAACGCGCTTTTTCTCCTCTCTTTTCTAACATGAGCTCCGCCGCAGCAGCAGCATTTTTCTGGTTGCTCTGGGCTAAGCCGCAAGATGCAAGCCCCTTCGCCGATGATGGATCCAAAGACAATTATGGCGAAGAAAGAAAGAAAGTCAGTTTGATACTGAATATTGATCAAGTCTGCTGTTGTTTAACTACATAAGCATGTGCATGATGTATTACTAATAACATTCAGGTCCACTCGTACTCGTAGTCCAACGTAATCATGTTATGATAGAATACTAATGCATACAATGCTAATGTTGGATCTATTAGAAGCCCTACTGAAGAGTATCGTCTAACATATGCTGTTGGGCAGCTCGGACGCTACGGATGGGAGAAGCAGAACTTCAATCGTCATCTAAACGAGTAAAACGTCTAGAGGAAATAGATAATAGAAGCTGCAGGAGAGTAAATGTAACTAAATAGACAAAATCTTCTTTTCAAGTGGTAAAGAGCCAAACGACAGGGAAAAAAAGGTATATAAAGATGGATAGTCATTTTTAGATGGACTTTCAAAAAGTCCGAACCACGTCTTTCATGCGGATGTGTCGTTTCCTGAATAGAGACAAACCCATAAAATGTATCTGGATTATTTGGTTGACGTAATATATTCCTGTATAATAGCGTAAGATGAATTTAGATAGAGGACCCAGACGTTGGCACTCCACAAATCAAATGTTTATGCTTATACTAACAACTGCTATGTCTAAACTATGAATACAGAACGGGACATTGAATCCGCGTCATCCCTTGTAATAACATCAAGTTGACGACGATGTATTACATCGTCGTCAACTACAACTACTCCTACCACTACCTAGTTTTACATATTTCTACAGAAAAATCATTATTATTTCTACAGAAAAATCCATTCCACGATCTAAGAATGAATACGGACTCCACACCTGAGAAGGATAGTTTCAAAGTATATTTGTCAGTCAAGAATTTCAAATAGTACCTCTACGAGATATGATGGAGTAGGACTGTGAAGTAGGAGGCATCAAATAAATGCATAGAGCTTTGCAACTACGTCTACGCCATTCGTTCGGGTGGAATAGAGACCGCCCGAGTCTTCTCAGAATGATGATGATGATGATGATGACGATCTAGCGAACCAAATCAAAAGTGCAAAGACAGCAGAAAAAACGGACTCAAAAGATGAAAGGAGAAAGGTTGAGTCGAAGCCGAAGGAAATGCGATACAGGATTTGGATTTTGAGTCAAGAAGAAGAAGAAGATCCAACATAATCAATAAATGGGGAGACAGCCGCCCATTGTACTAGTAGGACTGAGTCAGGAACTACAAAATTGAACAGGAGCTGTTGTTCTAGCTATTGGAAGTAGAGAAACCGAGGAAGAGTATCCAATCTACTTATTACTATTTCCAACTGTCTTCACTACTTCCAAGAGGGGCTTGAATTGAATTACATTGTCTTCTCTAGCTCACCGTCACTGCTTCCAAGAAGAATGGCGACTCCTCATGCTGCACCAGTTCCCTCGCTGCAGCTACCTGGGGTCAGTGCAAAAGGCGGAGAAGCTTCTAGCTCAACTTTAAGGCGACAACGCCCACTGTCCTCAGGATCCGGAGAATGGGGGTTCATCAAGTGTCTAAACTTCTTCTAGGCCGACGATGAATTTGGCTTCGGTAAAGTCTTAGACTTAGTCTCTAATAACTGCTCCAACAGCAGCTGCTCCTGCTGCTCCTGCGCAGACTCCGTCAACCGCACCACCTGGAGCTGTCCCTACCGGACCCCTGGTGTCTTCAGCGGTGCCAAGGAGAGTGCATTATGAAGCGAGCTTATTAGAGGACATGTTTGCTTGCTGTTTGAAAGAAGCGCCGCCCGTCTTCAACAAGCTTTTTCTGAATCGCGCACTCTCGGGGAGTCAACTTTTATGAAGAAACTTGATCGCGTATGCGTTTGCGTTTACGAATTTTACCAGGAGTAGTAGTAATGTAAGCCTACGGGGTATTTTTCGAATTTCCACTACCTCTACGACCACTGTGATCTACTTGGTCCTAGTCAGATCTGATGCATCTTCTTTGTAAATATTCAAACCTCATATTGAAGATTGAGGTTCCCTCGTCGTATGAGGTAGTAGACACAAATTTTTGCTACCCAAGAGGTACCATGACATGACAACTCTCCGTCATCCTTCGAGTTGTCCCCATTCCGCTTTCATCTCCTCACTCCCTCTTCGCTGACGGGATAGTTTTGGCTGGCGCGCCTATCCGCATAACAGAAGGCGAAGAAGACGCCATTCGAGCGCGGCTGAAAAGTGACGGATCCATTCTACATGAGCATATGGAACTGGATGTCCCCAGTAGTGAGGAAGAACGGTTGATGAATTTATGAGCAAGAAGAAATACTTAATAGAACTATCATTAGTCTGCTCACGGCCTTGACACGAGGCCGTGACTCGACAGGCCAGCTCCAGGACCTTGTATCCCTCTCTCTTCCGACCACCGCTCTTGCCTTCTCCGGAACCTTCCAAAGGACTCTCCCAAGAGAGTCTAACACTGAATCTAGTCTAGTTAATTCGGTATTTAATAGCTATTAGAAATTCAAAAAGGTTTTTTTGAATATAACCTAAAATAATACTTTAAGCTTGCCATACAAGAATAGAAGTGGAACTACTATTAGTATTGGAGAAAATTCAACTAAGGACTGCAAAAATCCGGACAAAGTTCAATCTTCTCGGGCATGATACGAATCCGCAGAACACTCGCCGCCTACTGCGC